ACTAGAAAGCTCTAATAATCAAAACAGCATGGTACTAGCATAAAAACAGATATATAGACCAATGGGACAGAATAGAGAGCCCAGAAATAAGCCCATGTATATACACTCAACTAGTCTTCAATAAGGGTGCCAAGAATACACAAGGGGGAAAGAATAGTCTCTGAAGTAAATGGTGTTGGGAAACTGGATTTCCACATGTAAAAGAATGAAATTGAACCCTTATCTCATGTCATATATAAAAATCAACTCAAAATGGATTAAAGACTTGAATGTAAAACCTGAAACAATAGAACTTTTAGAAGAAAACTCAGAAAAAGCTTATAGATGTTAGTCCTGGCACTGATTTCTTAGGTATGATGCCAAAAGCACAAGCAACAAAAACAAAAGTAGACAAGTGGGATTACATCAAACTAAAAAACTTCTGCACAGCAAAGGAGACAGTCAATAAAATGAAAAGGTAACCCATGGAATGGGAGAAAATACTTGCAAACCACATATCTGGTAAGGAATTAATATCCAAAATGTGTAAGGAACTCTTAATAGAGTTAATAGAGTAAAAAAAATAATAATAATTTAACTGATTAAAAAATGGGCAAAGGACCTAAATAGACATTTCTCCAGTGAAGACATACAGGTAGACAAAAGGTGTATACAAAGGTATTCAAATTCACTAATCATTAGAGAAATATAAATCAAAGCCACAATAAAATGTCACTTCAAGCCGGGCACAGTGGCTCACATCTATAATCCTAGCACTCTGGGAGGCCAAAGTGGGAGGATCACTTGAGGTCAGGAGTTCGAGACCAGCCTGAGGAAGAGTGAAACCCCTGTCTCTACCAAAAATAGAAAAAATTAGCTGGGCATGGTGGTGCAGGCCTGTAGTCCCACCTACTCAGGAGTCTGAGGCAGGAGGATCACTTCGGCCCAGAAGTTTGAGGTTGCTCTGAGCTAGGCTGATGCCATGGCACTCTAGCCCAGGTGATAGAACAAGACTCTGTCTCAAAAAAACAAAAGATATCACTTTACACATGTTAGAATGGCTGTTATTAAAAAAACATAAGAGTTGGTAAGGATGTGGAGAAAGGGAACCTTTGTATACTGCTGATGGGAATGTAAATTAATTCACCCTTTATGGAAAACAGTAGGGAGCGTTCTTTAAAATAAAAAATAGAATTACCATTTGATCCTGCAGTCCTACTTCTGGATATATATATCCAAAAGAAATAAAATCACTATCTTGAAGAGATATCTGCACTCCCATATTCATTACAGCACTATTCATAATAGCCAAGATATAGAAGCCACCTAAATGTCAGTGATTGAATGGATAAAGAAAATATGGTACATACACAGACACACAGAATGGAATACTATTCATCCTTTAAAAAGAAGGAAATCCTGCCACTTGGATTTTGTTACAGCATGGATGGATCTGAAAGACATTATGATAAGTAAAATAGACACAGAGAGATACCATGTTTCCCCAAAAATAAGACAGGGTCTTATATTTATTTTTCCTCAAGAAGACACCCTAGGGCTTATTTTCAGGGGACATGTTATTTTTTTTAAGTACAACAATCTACATTTATTCAAATATAGTTAAGTCGTCGTCTTCTGGAACATCACCATAACTCTCCAAACCCCAATTCCATCCTGAATTTCATGCGACTCTATTTCCTTTAAAACCATTGGCCCCAATCTCTCCTGCCGAGCAATAGAGCTCTCTTGGGGCATACGAGAAGGGCTGCTCGTAGTCTTTACCACTCAAAGACGAAATGGATGGGTTGTGCAGATACGCTGCATAGCCACGCCCATCACTAGGTCTTATTTTCCGGGTAGGGCTTATATTGTGCAAATGCTTAGAAATCCTGCTAGGGCTTATTTTATGGGTAGGTCTTATTTTCAGGGAAACACGGTAAAATAGTGCATGATCCCACTTTTATGAGGAATCTTTTTTCTTTCTCTCTCTTTTTTTTTTATTAATGGGATTTCACTCTTTTGCCCAAGCTGGGGTGCAGTGGCACAATTATAGCTCACTGTAGTCTCAAACTCCTAGGCTAAAGTGGTCCTCCTGCCTCAGCCTCCTGAGTAGCTAGGACTACAGGCACACACCACTATGCCCAGCTAATTTTTTTATTTTTTGTAGAGATAGGGTTTCACTATGTTGCCCAGGGTGGTCTCTACCTCCTGGTCTTAAGCAATCCTCTTTGGCCTCTTGAAGTGCTAGGATTACAGGCATGAGCCACCATGCCTGGCCATTAAGAATGTAAAATATTGAATCCCATAGAACCAGATAGTAGAAGAGTAATTATCTGGAGCTAGAGGGAGGGGCAATTGGGGAGGTGTTAGTCAAAGGATACAAGATCAACATAGAGCCCTACAGTTAGCAATACTATATTGTATACTTAAAATTTGCTAAGGGGATAGAATTTATATTAAGTGCTCTTAGGACAAAATAAAATATATTTTAAAAAATATACAGCCTCCTGAGTAGCTAGGACTACAGGCAGAAGGAAAATCTTTTAGAGATTAAGGTTCATTTAAATAGACTTTCTAGCCTTGAAAAAAGATACGTGAGCTCCAAAAATAAAGAAGACACATTTGACTAGGAAGATTTGTTAATGGCTATAGATCTACATATGCCATGTAGATGCTTGTCAGTGTCATTTGATACTAAATTATGTTTAGTCCAGCAGTTGATAGAGGACTATATTTAAGATTGCCTTCCCTCTCATACAGCTAACAAGGCTTTAATCAGGGCATTAAAGGAGTTCTAAGTAGGCCTTCCTTTTGAATCTTCATATCAGGAGGGGGCTGGGAGCATGAGTGGGAGGATGTCATGTCCCAGTGATTAATGATCTCTAGGAAGCTGAAAAGGGGAGAGTAATATACACAGTATTTCTACCCCCTGGAGTAGGAATGCAAACACCATTGTGCAGATCTGTGCATAGTCACTGACTTCCTGGTAGCTGGAGAATTTCATACACTCTTCAACCACAAATAAAACTGTCAGAGAAGTGACAGAGCTCAAAAAGCTGGCCTTCCTTACTTAAAAAGAATAGTTCAAACACAGTGAGCCAGAAAATTAATTTTGTAGTTGTTTGGAAGCCCAGTTGTTTAATAAGAAATGAGAAAATGGGAACTTTTCTTGAAAAGCCTAAAACCTCCAAATATTTGTTAAATCAAACTCTGCATTTAGTTTCTTAAATTTACTGAATTCCTGGAAACTGAAGGGGAAACATTCCTTTGTAATGAAATGACCAATCTTACACTTTTCAGTCTTGTCTCTGTGGTAGATTCAGAGAATCATACTATTGATGGACTTCTGAACCTATTGTCTTATGTTTAGGAAAAAATTCTAACATTTTAGAATGGCTTATACAGTTTTAGAAAGTAATTCTCTTTTTTTCTCCTCTTTTATCCCTAATGAAACTATGGTATTTAACAATTTCCAAATGGGTAAGTCAGAAGCGAAACATTTTGAACTACAGATAAGAAGCTATAGATGTTTGCAAAAATTTTAAACAGAAAATTTGTCAGAAAAGCATTGTATTTCAGCCACTTTTGAGAGTTGGTTTAACAGTAGTTACCTTGTTTTAGTGAAGACAACCAAATAACTTTTATTTTACTAGGAACTATTTATTCATAAAACTTGTTATTATTTGCTCTTGGTACATATTTTTTTGATGCCCTATATATTACCACTCATTATTCTTCATTGTCTAACTTTTAAATTGATTCTTACCAATTTTTATTTTTCAATAATATAAAAAGAAAGACAGGAAATATTCATTCTTCGGCAAATGGAGCCACACTTCAGGGTAAAGGAGAGAAAAATCTTTGTATTTTATTTTTTGTTTTTCTGTTTCTTTTGCTTTGTTTTTTAGGGTGTCACTATAATCTAAATTAAAAGGAATTACTGTGGCCTAAATTAAGATAGCATTAGATGGATTAAGCCCTGAATTTGGTTTCCAAGTGGTTAGACTTTTAAATTGCATTTGCAAGAGTTTATTTTTAGTTAGGATGTGGTTATTTTTAGATTTGCTTCTCTGTCACTAGGAAATGTAATGCCTGTCTTTCCATTGTTGTTTATCAGGAAGTTCTGAGGCACAAGCGTATGAGATCCAGTTAGCATAGAACACTACCTCTTCTTTTAGATGCAAGAATATGAAATAATGCATGGAGGAAAATATTTTCATTGAGAACATGTCTAATTTTTAAATTGTTAGTGTCATTTTAATCTTTTGTACATTGAACAACAGAACAAGGTTTTTAGGGAATGCCAAAAATACAAGGTTTGGGTTCCCCCTACTGGTGTGCATCCCAGGCTTATGTGTTCATTAATATATAGTAGAAAGGCCTAAGAGATAGAGATTAGAAATAGCTATGTTGACTTCATTTTAAAAGATTTAATGAGAGAGAGAGAGAGAGAGAGAGAGAGAGGCTCCATTTCCCTTTTCCTGCAAATGTCTTACAAAAAATGGGATGATTCAAAATTATATTTTCTACATCTAGAAAAAGTAAAACTTAATCCTACAATATTTGGTTTTTAATGTTGTTGCCTCTGTGATAAGCTGCTTATATGCAGTGCTTCTCAAATGCTTTATGTTGTAATCTAAGGAATAATAAAACACCAGTGGATCCACAAAAGGATTTAAGACCCCAAGGGAAAAAATGCAAAGCTAACGTTGTTGACATAATAAAATTAAAGAGCTAGCATTAAAGCTTATTAATTCCTATTTTAGCATTTCAGAAAGTGACATGACATCATGTGATTATGTCTGTCCATTTAACATCTGTTTTTTATAATTTGTCATATGTGTTACTTGAAGCAATTCTTTATTGTCTCTTAGGAAGTACCAAGTAATATTAATGGCTCATTTTGAAAAAGAAAAATTTTAATTGACTCCTAAAAGTCACTTCTGAACTTCTTATTATGTTTGCATTTTAAAGTACTATTCAATCAAATTAAAATATTGTATCTTTAAATTGCTTTTCAGCAATGCAGTCAACCTTTTAAGCAATGTTCCAGTCTCTTGTTTGGATGTTCTAATTTGTCCATTAACCCATGAAGAAACAGCCCAAGAGGCGACGACTCTAGATGAACTGCCCAGTGATAAAACAGCTGAAAAAGAAACAGTTTTGAAAAACAATACCATGGTATACAATGGTATGAATATGGAGGCCATTCAAGTTTTACTCAATTTTATGGAGAAGAGAATAGACAAGGTAAGGCTGATAAAATGGTAGGCTTGGGAAGATGCTTTCAAAGAATGTAAATGTGCCATATATACAATGACACACCACTGAGCATGATTTTTAAATCTAAGCCTTTTTTTACAGCTGACATGTTGCATAATTATACTTTGGGAAGCATTTTATTATAATATATGATAAATTACTAAAACCTGGTGAATTAATTGTTTAATGCTGAAAATTGTGTCCATGCAACACCAAAATTGTGACTAGTGCCTGATAGTAAAGGGAAAATTAATTACTGTTCGATGTAGGTATTTTGAAGTCCTAGAAGTAAAAATTATCTCCCCCAAAACTTGATACTTTTCATAATACCTAAAAAACATCTCCCCCCAAAAAGTATTTTCAATTTTCCATTTGTTGTAAGCTGTTTATTTTCTCTGGTCTGTCAGCCACTTTGTCAGGTAACTATATTAAAGGTAGTATACATGGCTCACCAAATCTTTGCCTCATTTAAGCCCATTGGCTAAGTCAGTGGGAATCTTAGCAAATGTAGAAAAGTCCCAAGAAAGACAAAAATAAGCATCAATAAGCGTGAAGATAACTGATAAAATGGAAATATTGGTGGGGAAATAATTTTTAAAATACTCTATAAGCTTTGGTAACATACCTCATCCTCTGAAAAAAGGTATTAATATGCTCAGTTATGTGGAGGAAAGTAATACTTTTAGAAATTAAACTAATGTATCACGCATGGTTTTCTTTACAGGGAAGCAGCTATAGAGAGGGTCTAACACCAGTTCTCAGCTTATTAACAGAATGTTCCCGAGCCCATCGAAACATCAGAAAATTTCTCAAAGATCAGGTAACTGTTTATGCATATTATATCTCAGAGCTAATCTTATGTGTGTTTTTTAATTCTAATAACAGAATTAATGGATTGAATTTTCTCATAATCGTTTTCTTTTAGAAAATCAGAAACTCAGAAAAGTTAAGTTTTAATCTTTGAAATTTTCCTAACCAAGAAATAAATCAATGTGTATTTTTTGAGTCATTCATTCCTTTATTCAACAAATGTTTATTGAGATCTACTATGTGCTGTGTTCTGAACATTGAACCACAGATAAAGTCTTTGCCCTTATGGAGTTTACCTTATAGAGGGGAGACAAAAATAAACAAAAATATAATGACAGGTAGTGATAAGTGTTCTAAAGAAAGAAAAAGAGGACAGAAAGGAGAGATTTAAAGGGGATAAGGGAGGGCCTCTCTGAGGAGATGATGTTTGAACAGGAAGCTAGAGAAGTAAGAAGAGTATCTCTGAGAATATCTGGAAGAAGAATATATCAGAGAGGACAAGTTCAAAATCCCTAAAATGAAAAGATGCTTTGGTGGGCTTAAGAAAAAGCAAGAAGCCTTTATCAAAAAGTTCCAAAACAATAAATGTTGGCATGGATGCAGAGAGATAGAAACACTCATACACTGCTGCAGGGACTGCAAACTAGTACAACCTCTGTGGAAAGCAATATGGAGATACCTCAAAGAGTTACAAGTAGAACTACCATTTGATCCAGTAATCCCATTACTGGGCATGTACCCAAAGGAAAAAAAGACATTCTATAAAAAAGACATCTGCACTTGAATGTTTATAGCAGCACAATTCACAGTCGCAAAGATGTGGAAACAACCCAAATGCCCATCAATACATGAATGGATTAACAAAATGTGGTATATGTATGCCATGGAGTTCTACTTAGCCACAAAAAACAATGGTGATCTAGCACCTCTTGGTTTATCCTAGATAGAACTGGAGCCCATTCTACTAAGTGAAGTATCACAGTTATGGAAAAACAAGCACCACGTGTACTCACCATCAAATTAGTATTAATTTATCAACACTTATGTGCACATGTAGTAGTAATATTTGTCGGGTGGCAGGGGAGGTGGGGATGGGTATATTCACACCTAATGGATATGGTGCATACTGTCTGGGGGATGGACATGCCTGTAGCTCTGACTTGGGCGGGGCAAAGGCAATATATGTAACATAAATATTTGTACCCCTGTAATATTCTAAAATATATATATATACATATATATATAAAAGAAAAAACAAGAAGGCCATTATGACGAAGCAACAGTACATAAGGGGGACAGCAGTAGATGAACTAAGAGAGGTAACAAGAGCCAGATACATGAGGTTATAAAGGACTTTTGATTCTCTCCTAAGTAAGATGAGAAAACATGGGAGAGTTTTCAAAGGGAAGTGATGTGACCTCATTTATGTTTAAAGATACTCTGGCTAATATTTGTAGGATAGACTATAATGGACCAAAAGTGGATGTGAGGAAACTAGCCCAGAAGAGAAATGATGATGAAGGCTTGAAGGAGGATGATAGTGGGTAAAGTTGATACTTTGGGATATGTTTTAAAAATAGAGCTCACAGAACTTGCTGATAGTTTGGGACATGGATTGAGAAAGAAAGAAAAAATAAGATGTTTTTTAAACTTTTAGATTATATCTTAAACTCGAAGACTTTGACAATAATGGTAACTGAAAGTGACCTCTGGAATCCCAATTTCAAGCACCTTCTCTTAGTACCCTCAATCCAACATTCTTTCATCTTCATGAAGATTGCTAGTCTATCATTTTTTTCACTATTCTTTTCACTGTCTTGTCTTCTCTCCTTACCTGGGCTGGATTCCACCTGTGATTCATTATTATAATTGCATCTTTAGTACCTCATGCTCTCCCTCAGTCATACTCACGTGGCAAAACCCCACAAACTTGTTAAATCCAGCCTTTTGCCTATGCTGGGCCTCCACTGGGCACTAGAACATGGTAAAAGAAATTAACACAACCATATTGACTAGTTTACTTTAAATTTAAGTAAACTTTAAATTTAAATTTAAGTAAACTTTACATTTAAACCACCAACCCCAAGTGGTTCCCTAGTACACTCCAAGATGACCATTGTATAACTCCTTTTTCTTCAGACTTCCAGTGCTTACTCCCCTCTTCTTACTCCTATTTGTTGACCTTGTTTTCTATTTCATCAAGAAATCAAGAAAAAACTTTCTATTTTTCCACCACAGCATCTACCGTCTGCATCTGTACTGCCATATCCTTTGTGTCCCCCTCTATCACATGGATGAATTATCCTACTTCTGTCTATGGCCAGCCTTTGTCCTAGATCCCTTTTCCTCTCACCTTTTCATGAACTTTGCCCGGCTTTATTTCCCCTCTCTTCTAATGTTAATCACTTTTATTATTTTTTATTGACACATAATATTTTTACATATCTATGGGGTACATATGAGTATTTGTTACTAATCATCTTTTTTAATGTACTGGATCATTTCTGTCAGCACCTAAACACATCTTCCATCTTAAATAAAACTTTCCCTTAATCCCATTTCTCAAGCTGCCTTCTATTTCTCTGCTCCTCTTCATGCAGTGTTCCTCAGAAGAATTTTCTATTCTCTATACTCTATTTACTTTTAAAACATTTTTTTAAAGAGACAGGGTCTCACTCTGTCACCCAAGCTGTAATGCAGTGGCACAATCACAGCTTCCTACAGCCTTGAATGCCAGGTCATAAGTGATTCTCCCACCTCAGCCTCCTAAATAGCTGGGACTACAAGCACTCACCATCATGCTCAGCTAATTTTCTTTATATTTTGTAAAGACAAGATCTTACAATGTTGCCAGACTAGTCTTGAACTCCTGGCCTCAAGCAATCCTCCCACCTTGGCCTCCCAAACTGCTGGGATTACAAGTGTGAGCCACTGTGCCTGGCCCTTTCTCATCTTGGACTCTCTTTTGAACCCCTTATAATTAGGTATTCATGCTTTTCCCCCTACTGCAAAGGTGTTTGCCAAAGTTACCAACTCTGTATTGTCAAAGCTAATCGTTCTCACATCTCCTTTTTTTAATTCTTCCAACAGCATTTGATGTAAGTATTCCCTACTCCTTGAAATACTTTCTTCTCTTGGTTTCTAGGACACAGTAGAGAACTTTTGCTTGGTTGATTTTCTTTCTCTTCTGAACCATAAATATTTGAGTGCCCCAAGGCATTGTTGGTCTCCATCTCCACTCCCTGGTGATCTCATTCAGGAGTTGTAGTTTTGAAAAACCATCTATATTCTGATGACTCTCAAGTTTATATCTCCAGGCCTGGCCTGTCACCTAAGCACCTGAATTAAAAAATGAACTGCCTACTCATCTCTTTCCCTTGGATATGTAGTAGGTATCTTACGTTTAACATACCTCAAACTAATATCTTGATTTCCATCTCCGTAACCTATTTCTTTCTGTTTTTTCCACGTTTCAGCACATTGATACCACCATTCACCCCGTTGTTCATTTATCACCATATAGAATTTCCCCAAATAAATTAACCAAGTTCATTTTTCCCCTTTATATTTATGATCAAGATTTAGTAAGTACCTTACTATGTATAGAATATACCAGTAGTGCTAATACAGAGGGATTATAAAGTAGGGACTCTCTGAAGAATTTACATCCATTGAAAGAAAAGAGAGATATCATAAAAGCATGAATAATCATTTAAGCAAGATTAATTAATTAAGGTCATTTTCACATTTGATTATTTTAAGACATTCTCCCTTGACTAGGAGGACTTGGTAAAGAATAATAAGTGAACATACTTTGTAATATAGGGGATCCAGATTCAACTAAACTGTTTAGATTTTGTTGTCTCTAACTAGGACAGCTAAAAAACCTACTTGTTAAACAGCTTCTTTATATTAGGGCCTTGGGCCACATATTGTGTAGATACAAAAGATTATGATACCCATTCTCTGTCTTCAAGAAACACTACAGTATAGGTAAAGAGAAGAAACATGACAGGTAAAAAGATAACTAAAGATACAAGACATAATACAGAAATCAACTTTTCTTCTGAGGTGGATGCGCTGTAGACTGTGATGATCAAGAAAGGCAGAACAGTAAAGTAACAGATGACTAACTTTCATAATAGTGTAAAGGGAACCATGATTATTTGATTATTGTGCTCTAGAGTGAATTGGTCTTAAGTATTCTGTATTTGAGCAGGTAGAAAAGAAAACAGATGGTAGAAATTACTGACCGAGGTTGTATTAGTCTGGAGAGGCTTATAGAAGCAATGAGTATTTGGTGCATTTGAAAGAAAAACTGGATAATTTTTATTAAAGAAATTTGTTTGAGGTCGTCTTTGGGAGAATCTACATATGCAGTTTGTCAGGGAATAATATATAACACCAAAATTTGATTAAAAACATATTTTAAAGAACCAGAAACATAGCTAACAAAATTTTTACCTGATAACCTTTGTTAATAGTTTCTATAATCTGGGCACTATAGACAAATAATACATGAAATTAGTTGTTACATGTCTCATTCTAGAAATGGAAAATAAACTCAGTATAGTTGGCTCAAATAATAAAGTTTTATTGTGCAATTGCTTTGTGCCTAGCATTGTGCTCTACCCAGCCAGAGATACTGAAATGTGGATTCTGTAAACACTTTGGGTTTTATCTATAGCTGTATCTCCAGTGCCTCCAATACCTCCTGTTACATGGTTGGTACTCAATACAGACAGAGAGTCAGGGAAGGAAGGAAGTCAGTTGAATGAATTAAATAATACATACATAAAGGGTCTGGCATATAATAGGTACACAATAAATTATTATTTAACTTTGTATCCTTGTTTCCTGGCATAGTACCTAGCTTATAGAAGGCACTTAATAAAAGTTACTTGAATTAATTCACTTTTCCTTCAATCAATGAATATTTAGTGAACACCTATAATATGCCAGGCACTGAGAAACAGCAGTAAACAAAACAAAGAAATTCCTGCCCCAGTGAAACTAACTTTTGTAGAAGGAGGCAGACAGTAAACTTAAATATATACTGTGTCAGGTGGTGATAAGGACTATGAGGAAGATTATAGCAGAGTAAGGAGATGTGGGCGTGGTAAAAAAGAGAATGCTAAAGGATAGTGATATAGGGCACTTAGGTAATGTCTCCTATAAGTGACATTTGAATAGAGACTGAAGGAAGTAAGGGAGAGAGCCATGCAGGTTTTTAGAAAAAACGTTTCTAGGTAGAGAAAAAAGCAAATGCAGAAGACCTGAGGCAGGAAACTGCTTGGCATGTTTAGGGAATTCCGTGGAGGTCTGTGTGGCTGGAACAGCATAAGCAAAGAAAATAGTAGAAATGAAGTCAGAGAAGTAGCAGAAAGCCAGATTATGCGGAATCCTGTAAGGCATCAGTCCCCAACGTTTTTAGTACCAGGGATGGTTTCATGGAAGATAATTTTTCAACGGACGGGGTGGGGGGTGGGAGGGTGCAGCTTGGTTTCAGGATGATGATTCACTAGGTTGATGAATTACATGTGTTGCAAACCTCTCTTCTAATGATAATCTGTATTTGCAGCCACTCCCCAGTGCTAACATCAGCACCTCAGCTCCACCTTAGATCATTAGGCATTAGATTGTCATAAGGAGCCCAAACCTAGATCCCTGATATGCACAGTTTACAGTAGGATTCCTGCTCCAGCTAGCATTAGATGAGAATCTAATGCCAGCTGATCTGACAGAAGGCAGAGCTCAAGTGGTGATGTGAACTATGCGGAGCAGCCATAAACACAGATGAAGCTTTGCTGGCCATTTACCTCCTGCTGTGCAGCCCTGTTCCTAACGGGCCACAGACTGATACTGGTCCATGGCCTGGGGGTTGGGCACAGCAGCTGTAAGGGAGTTGTTGTAAGGACCTTGCCTTTTACTCTGAGTGAGATAAGAAGCCATGGGAACTAGAGGATTTTAAGGACAGGAGTGACAGGATCTGACTTTCAAAGGACCATCCTAGCTGCTATGTAGAGAGTAAATCATAGAGTGACCAGAATGGAAGCAGGGACCACTTAAGAGGCTGTAGTATTAGTTCAGATAAGAAATATTGGTAGCTTGGACTTAGTAATACTGTAGGAGGTATAAGAAGTGGTTGGATCATGGGCATATTATAAAGATAAAGCTGACATAATTTGCTGATAGATGGATGTGGGGTAGGAAAGAAAGGAGTCAAGGATATTTCCAAGGTTTTTGCACTAAAGTAGTTGGAAGAATGGATTTGCCATTTAATGAGATAGAAAAGTGCAGGAATAGCAGGTTTAGGGGGAACATTAAGAGTCCTGTTTAAGACGTGCTAAATTTGAGAGGTCTATAAAAGTTTGGAGGTCAGAAGCATAAAATAGAATAGCATTTACCAGGGGCTGAAGGGAGGATGGGGAGTTACTATTCAATGGGTATAAAATTTCAGTTATATAAAATGACTGAGTTCTAGAGATCTGCCATACAACCTTGTACCTATAGGTAACAATAGTACTGTATACATACAAATTTAAGAGGATTTAAAAAATGAATCATGGGTCCCACTAAGACTTACTGAATCAGAATCTGCATTTGGACAAGATGCTCAGGTATTTGGAATGTGCATTGCAGCCTGAGAAGCACTAGCCTGAGGATTAGCAGGATGGCTTCATGACATTTTAATTTGCTCTGTAATCAGTCTGTAAGTAAGGTGGTGGCAGCATATTTAATATTGTATTATGTTGAATATTCTCTAGATAAATGCATCATAGGTAATAATTATAATCTAAAAAAAAGAAAGTGAGTACATTTTAATATAATTTCTGGCCTTATTTTAAGCTACTCCTTTCCATAGCCCTTTGTAAAATCCTATAATACATTTCTTTTCAGTCATTAAAAAAAAAAAAAAGTCTGGAGGTCAGAGAAGAAATCAACACAGAGATATAATTTAGAGAGTCATCAGGTTGCAGAGACTATAAAAAGTCATAAAACTAGATGATATCACAAATATCATCTGAGTGGAAAAAAATGAAGAAAAGTTGCCCAAGATCTCAATCCTTGAATATCCCAACATTTATAAGATAGAAAGAGAAAAGAGAATTGAAAAAAGAGACTGAGATGAAGCAACCAATGAGATAGTAGAACCAGGAGCAAGGTATCTAGGTAGATGGATGGGTGAGTGATCAAATGAACAGACAGACTAAGCGAGTTCCACAAGCCCTCTGAGGATCAGTCTATGAAACGGTTCAAGGGTGATGTCACTACCTCCTTTGCAGGGTTACTGTGATGATTATAAATAATGTATATATACCATCTATTATAGCAAATAGCACATAGAAAGTGCTCAATAATTAATACACTTTTTATTATAAAATTAAACAACTAGAAAACATCAGTATAGATTTTTTTTTTTTAGTAAATACAGGTTGAGTATCCCTAATCCAAAAATCTGAAATCAAAATGATCCAAAATCTGACACTTTTTGATACTCAAAGGAAGTGCTCATTTTGGAGCATTTCAGATTTGTGGATTAGGGATGCTCAACTGATAAGTACATATAATGCAATTATTCCAAAATAAAAAAAAAAATCTAAACTCCAAAGCACTTCTAGTCCCAGGCATTTTGGATAAGGGATACTCAACCTATACGGAAAAGGCTACAAGACTTAAGACAAAAGTCAGTATGACTCGGTATTAAGGAAGTCATTGTGGAAGAAAGAGAAACTTGACCCAGAATTTAAAACATATTAGATAGAGGCAAATTGAGGCATTCCAGGTACTGAGATGAATGAAAACTCAGAAATGCATTTGAAGATAGCATGGTGCTACAGTGAAGAGATATTTCTGTTCAAATGAAACCTCATTATAGGCAGAAACCATTTTAGGTCTGTTTTTTGTCGTCGTTTGGTTTTGTTTAATTTTATATTATTTGGAAGCTAACCTTTATTTATTAAAAAAATATCTTTTCCACTCTTAAAAAACTAATCCCAATAGACATTACAAACTGGCCAGTTGCATTGTACCATCCTCACTTACTGTAGTACCCTCAATTGATGATGGTTTTTGCATTTGTGCCATCAGGTTTTACCACCGTTGAGGGATGTGACAAATCGACCTGAAGTTGGCTCAACTGTGAGAAATAAGCTGGTGCGCCTCATGACACATGTTGACCTTGGAGTCAAGCAAATTGCTGCTGAATTCCTTTTTGTTCTTTGCAAAGAGAGAGGTAGGTTAAACTCTCTTTGCCCTCTGCTTTTTATCCTTCAGAGGGAATTGTAGAAATTTAGTTAGTAGTGACCATCTCGTACCACTCTTTCCAGAACTTACTATCTGTTCTATTAGAGGAGCTGAGGAGATAATAAAAATTAATAATTTAAGAGTATATTTATATATTTCATTGAGACATACAGAAATAGATATATTGCCAAACACACTCACATTTAACTGTTCCCTTTGTAATGTTTCCTTTGTATCCTTAACCTAGACTAGTCTTGATGGTGCAGGACCTGGAGCCACTATGAAAACTGCTTCAGTAACTCAGGGGCTACTGTTTTAATTTAATTCCTCTTGGAATTAGAAGTAAAAATGCATAATATGCCTGAGATAAGGATAAAATAGTGGTAAAAAGAAACTTAAAAATAACTATCTGCAATGTCTTATAATAATACATTTTATAATAATAAATACTACTCTAAGTATGTACAAAGTGATTGTCTACTGAGATAGCTCCAACAATTGAAAGTATTTTCTAAAATTATATGGATTGTTTACTCTGCAAAAAGCAAGTTCTCCAAACAAGGAAATTTGATTAAATTATTCAGATATTCGCATCTACTACTTTCTTCTTTTCTTACTTTACAAATGTACTAGTATAAATCCCATCTAAGCACATTTTATATTCCACTTTTTTAAAGTATCCCAGTTTTGTGATACAGTTAATTTGGAGATGGAAAAGTTCACTTGCTTTTCAAGATCTTAAGTCAGTTGTATTATTAAACTTTAATTCTGTCTTAGGATTTTGTTAAGTTCTGACTATCATAATGATGATAATAAACATAGCTGTTATGAATTGAGAGGTATCATGTATCTGACATTCTTTGCATAATCTCATTTAATTCTCATGAAGACCCTCTAAGGTAAATATTAGTTCAGTTTTATAAATGCAATAATGTGGTACTTGAGAATCTTTCAGTAACTTGTCCAAGGCCATGCAGTTGCTTGGGGTAGGAGCCTAAATTTGAGTCCTTTCATAATAATTATCATCAGCTATTATTATAGACTAGTTTAGTTATCATCTGTTCTTTTAGACAATTTACTTCTTTTATGACTTTGACAAAAGATTGATTTAGCATCTTGGAATTAAGTGGTTAGCATAGTGCCTTATATATAGTTATTTATAAATAATTGGCTGAATTGAATTTTTCTGAAATCAGAAATGAGCTGTTTTTTAAAGTGTATTTATGTAAATACATAAATCTAAACCATACGTATGTAATATTCATTTTAAAAGGTTTGTCAAAATATACAGCAAAATATTATCCATTGTTTCCTCTAAGGAGTGAGATTACTGGTGACTCTTTTTTATTTTAGTTCTATATATTACTATTTTTCTACAATGAATATGTATTTCTTGTATAATACCATTTTAAAAGTTTTAAAAAGGGGAAAATAAAGTTAACTTTTTCTGTAATTACATATCTAAACATATATCTAAATATAATCACCTTACTGATGAATGCATGTCATGTCATAGCAAATATGGATACGCATTTGTAAGTGAAGTTTGTTAATGTTTTTTCATCTGAAATGGTTAGCTTGTTTCCCTTGGACCCAGTATTTGAAATTTCATAGTCCTAACTTTGAGCCCAAAGCCAGCCTACATTAGCAAAGTAATTTTTTTTCCTTTTTGTGGGGGAGACAGGGTCTCTTTCTGTCACCTGGGCTAGAACGTACTGGCATTATCATAGCTCACTGCAACCTCAAACTCCTGGACTTAAGTGATCCTCCTTCCTCAACCTCCTATGTAGCTGGCACTACAGGTATGCACCATCACACCTGACTAAATTTTTTTTTTTTTGAGACAGGGTCTCGCTCTGTCATCCAGACTGGAGTGCAAGTGACATTATCATAGCTCACTGCAACCTCAAACTCCCAGACTCAAGTGATCCTTCTGCCTCAGCCTCTTGAGTAGCTGGGACTATAGGCACACACCAGCATGCCCAACTAGTTTTTTCTGTTTTTGGTAGAGAGGGTGTCTCACACTTGCTCAGGCTGGTCTCAAACTCCTGAACACAAGTGATCCTCCTTCCTTGGTCTCCCAGAGTACTAGGATTACAGGTGTGAGCCAGGAAATACATTTTTTTAATTTGACCTTCAACAATTCTATATATAATTATCTGGTTTTCCTTCCAATATGATTATAAGTTTAGTAGATATATCTTCTGGAATAAAAGTTCATTCATTCAACAAATATTTTTTGAGCTAGACTCTGGAATTATAGAAGTATACAAGATAAAGTTTCTGCTCTCATATTATTTACTTTCTTATGCACAGACTCAAATGCCTACAGCAGCTAGGCTGGTAATAAAAGTAAGTCAAGTAGACTAGGTGTCAGATGACAAATGAAAACTGACACTTAGCTCATTGTTGGGGAGACAGTGGGTTGGGGTAGGGCAGGAAAGGGGGACTATGGAGGACTCTAAGGAGAATATTGTTGCTTATTTAGCTCCACCTGATTGTTACCATGAAGGAACATGTGGTCAGTGTCACCAGATGTTCCAAGTTTTTCAAGTGAAGATAGAACACTGGATTCTTACAAAGAATCTCTTAGGTTTTCAACTTTAAAGCCTTCTGAGGGAGGCAGGAGGATTGCTTGAGCTCAGGAGTTCAAGACCGGCCTGAGCAAGAGCAAGACCCCATCTCTACAAAAAATGGAAAAATTAGCCAGGTATGGTGGCACATGCCTGTAGTACCTAGCTACTCGGGAGGCTGCGGCAAGAGGATCACTTAAGGCCAGGAGTTTGATTTTACAGTCAGCTACGATGGCACCTCAGCGCTCTGTTTAAAAAAAAAAAAAAAGTAGTCTGCTGTCTACATCCAATTTAAAAATCATCAAATTTTGAAATTTGGGTTTGGAGTTAGACTATCAAAATGAAACTAATTTTAAACAATTTATCAGAGTGGCTGAACTTTTAACCACTTTGGTACAATTGTCGACTATAAGTCGACAGCCACAGATGAATGTGCACAGCCGAGCATCAACTTTAGCCTACAGCCGTGATATGACTTTTCTAATTTTTCATTTATCAAAATAAAATTGTGAACATTTAAAAATAACATAATAAAAACATATATGTATATGTTATATATTCTGATTTACATTACAAGTAAAGATGCCTATAAAGTAAAACTAGCTTTCAGTGCTTTAAAGCTTTCCTCACCACACAAGAGCAAAACGGATTCGTCGTCAGTGCACAGTACAAACTATTGTATGGACTATGAGTGCTGGCTGTGGGCAAGGTTTTGAGGCCGGTGAACATACTGAAGTGGTTAAGAACGTGCAAAGCTAAGTTTAAAAGTGAAGATACCTTGGTCAAGGCTCAAAGGTCAGACCCCCCAAGTAGAGACACCAGGCAGCAATCAAATTGGGTTAGGAACTCAGAGACTACATTAAGAAAGAAAACTGAAATGAAGTATGATGCAAAGGGCAAAACTTTATGGAAGACTAGGCACAGAAATAACCATCCAAGTGTCTTAAATGTCCATCTGTGCCAGGCTCAGATTCATCCCCTGCTGACAATGGCCCCAAAGTTAATTTGTACTCATGCCACCAACTTGTTCTGTTGGACCCTGACATGGCTAAATTTTTACTATCTCCCTACAAATTGTATACTTTCCACAAGGGCCCTAAAGATAGGCCTTACATTGTTTAATAAAAAAAAATGATTTATAGAATAATCTGCTGCCTTAATGGGGTTTCCTGTACCATTTAGCATGTTAACTGCCAGTATGTGGTAGCCATTGTGGTGTAGAGGCTGCATTACAGATATGAATTAGGCTTGAACTCCTGAAGCTCATAGCCCCACACCCATAAATTTACTTTCGTTTCTGTTTCAGTATTAGAGAAATAGATCTCTCTTTAGCTTGATGCACAACAGTCTCCCTTTCCTTTTGCTCTTTTCTCTTCCTGTATTTGCAGAAGCCTTACTCCATCAGTTTTCACCCTCTGTATTTTGGGTTGTTGTTTTTTTTTTAAACTTTCTCTATGTGCTTTCCTCAACCTACACACCTCCTTACATCACTGTCCTTCACATCTTGGCATCTTTAAAGACCAGTCTGGTTTTCTTTTCAGTATTCTTACTGCCTACTCAGTCTTCAACTTGCTGCAAGTCACACATTCCACTACCATTCCCTACCCTCTAAATTCCACTTAAGTAATGTCCCAAATTACCTAATTTTCAAAAGCAATAGGTATTTTTTAGTCTTTATATTACCACATTGCTCATAATCTCTGACTCTACTGACCAGTCTCTTTGTTTCTGTGCTACTACATACTCCTATATGTCCTTTGACTGCTCTGTTCTTTCTTTTCAGTTTCATTTGCTAACTCCTATCTTTGGCTACATTTAATTATTGGTGTTACCTAAAGTTGTCTTCTGGCCCCCATTCTGACTTTACATTACTCCCTTAGTAATATCATCCTCTCCCTTCGCTTCTGCTTTAGCCTATTTGCTGAATAGTTTCCCAAATCTATGTTTCTCCAGCCCCAGCATTTCTTCTGAACCCCCGTCATGTGTATCCACCTGCTTATGGGACATTTCCACCTGAGTTTCTCACAGGTACCTCTCAAACTCAGGTCTAAAGTTAAATGCATTATCTCCATTCCCATTGTCCTTCACCTTTCTCCTTCAATCACTTTCTCTGTGAAAGGCACTATTGTCTATTTAGTTGCTAAAACCAGAAACTTAGGAGTTTCTTAGATTCCTTCTTTACCGTTAGAACTAATAATCACCACATTATATAGATTTTTACCTCCTAAATATCTCCTTTATTTATTCACTCCATTCTATTCCCATACATTACCTTAGTATAGGCCCTTAAAATTATTTTCTTAAACTATTAAAATAGTTGGATCTATCTTTTCCAGTCAGGCTGTCTTCAGTTTATCTTCTACATGGCTAACAAGGGGATTGTTCTAAAATACAAATATAATCTTGTCATTTCCTCTGTGTGAAGCTTTCAATGATTCCCTGTTGCCTGCCCGGTAAAATCCAAATTTTACCTCCCTGGCTTATCTCTATAATGTATTCTAAATCTACTCCTATGTTATACTTTGTGCTTAATCACACTAAATTCTTTATTCTTGCCTGATGATACTGCACCATTTCTTGGCATATCTCCATGGCTTGGCAGATGCTGTTCCTTTTGCATGGAATGCCTTCCCTTTCTGTGTTACCATGGTGAGCTTTACTTATCCTTGAAGATCAGCTTAAACATCATCTCTGTGAAGACTTCTCTGACCATTCCAAGCAAAGCTGATTATTCTCTCCTTTGTGCCATTTTTACTTCTCTGTTTTTAGTACTTTTGACATTTACTATGTTATAATTCTTTATTTGTTGAACTTGCATTCTAGCATTGAGTTTCTTCAGGTTGGAGATCATGTCTTATTCATCTTCATCTTTGGATCCTCAGTGCTTAACAAAGTAACTAACAGGTAGCAGGTCCCGTAAATGTTTAATAAAAGAGTGAACATTTGTGTTCTTTATGAATTCAGTCCAGTGAATATACTGTCTTGTGTATTTCTCTGTATAAAGGAATAATTTCAGTACACTATGCTAAGCTAAGTAACTATGGTACACTAGTACCATAAACGTTTGTGTAAACATTCATGTTCTTTATAAATTCAGTCCAGTGAATATGCTGCCTTGTGTATTTCTCCGTATAAAGGAATAATTTCAGTACTCTTTGGTAACCTAAGAGAGGAATGTGCCAGGTACTATGGCAAACTAGAAGAGGGAATGATTGTAGGATGTAGAGAAGATCAGATAAAGTCTTCACAGAATAGGACAGAGAAATGGGAAATAGCCTTGGTATGTATAGAAAAGATACTAGTTCAAGGTGTGAGGAATCCAGAATGTAGGAGATAAGTTTGGAAAAGAAGGCAGAGGCCAGAAGATGAAGACCCATTTAGGACCTGTTTTTGAATTTGAGCTTAGCCTTTTGTGGGGAGAGACATTAGAGGTGATAAAACCATATTTTTGCATTACAAAGATACCTTGGACAGTTGTGTAGAACAAGGAATGAGGGGGGTGTGAGACCAGAAATAAGGACACTAATTAGAGGAAGCTGCTAGTGTGCGTTTCTAATGTTACAGTATTTGACTGGAAGTTAAAGGATTCTCTATGTTGAAGCAAAGTATGTCTTAAATCATCTTTGTAACCTACACTGTCACAGAGTTGGCACATAATGTTTGTTCTGGTGAAAGATCAGTAAACATTATTTTCATGAAAGTGTCAGGGATTTTTACAATTAACTAGTTTCCCAAGAGATTTTCTGCAAAAAAAAAAAAAGGCAGTTATTTAGTATTCTGTTTACCTCTGTTTAACCTATTTTGGCCTTTCATAACCTTTGCATTCTTAAGCTATTTTAATCTTTAGCCATTTTGTTGGCTAATTATTGTTGCTTTGTTTTTAAGTATATTCATTTAAACAATTTATATCATCTCAATTTAGACTTTTATAATTTCAGTGAACATTTCTTTTCTGGAACCACTAAACATCCTTATTTGTTAAAAAATAGGCCTTATCTGTAATGCTTACAATGAACGATAGCATCACCTACTATCTGTGGAGTACCTTGTGTGGGTTTAGATCTATGATTCTTCAGTGGCTTTGTGTCTGACCATGTCCTTAAGGTCATGTCTGATCTTTATGAATATTAAAATACCTATATACACCGAACATTCATTTCTTCCCCTCATGACTTGTTAAGGATTTCCTTATTTAGTTAAATCACTGCATCTTGAGGAGATGCTGACAACAAGAAGGAGCCCATTAAGTTTATTCAGAAGGCTTTCAGATTGCACCACCGTGATCAAATTCTTTCTTTCTTTTTTTTTTTTTTTTTTTTTTGAGACAGAGTCTCACACTGTTCCCCTAAGTAGCATGCCATGGCATCAGTCTAGCTCACAGCAACCTTGAACTTCTGGACTCGGGTAATCCTCCTGCCTCAGCCTCCTGAGTAGTTGGTACCACAGGCACATGACCACTCCTGGCTAATTTTTTTATTTTTAGTAGAGACAGGATCTTATTCTTGTTCAGGCTAGTCTCCAACTCCTGAGCTCAAGCAGTCCTCCTACCTCAGCCTCCCAGAGTGCTAGGATTACAAGTGTGAGCCATCATGCCCAGCCTTCCCTCATTAAATTCTAATATGATTGTACCCAGCACTCACCAAGAGTTATTACCAAAGAGACCACAATTACCAATAGGTTTTAAGATTGAAAATGACTAGTTTCAACCTCATTTAATCTATTCATATTATTAGCCTATATTTCCTTTTTCACAGATTTCACCAGTTTGCCATCTTTGAAAGCAGGGCTTCCTTTTAATTATCCCCAAACCACCTATTTGCAGTGTCAATGGAGATACCCTCTAGTTCAGGTATTTGAAATTTTAATAAACAACTCTATCTTAGAATATTCATCCTATCTATGCTCTTTGTGATTTTACAGTCTGATCATATATATATATATATATATATTTATTTATGAATGAATGAGACAGGGTCTTGGTCTGTCACCCATGCCGGAGTACATTGGCACAGAGCTCACTGTAACCTCAAACTCCAGGGCTCAATCAATCCTCCTACCTCAGCCTCCTAAGTAGCTGTGGCTATAGGCACATGCCATTATGCCCAGCTAATTTTTTATTTTTTTAGAGATAGGGTCTTGCCGTGTTGCCCAGGCTGGTCAATAACTCCTGCCTCATGTGAGGTCATCCGATCCTCCCTCCTCAGACTCCAAAAGTGCTGGGATTACAGGTGTGAGCCACCACACCTGTCAATATCCCTTTTTCTTAACCACCTGTTTCCCTACCCACTAATCCTTTCAGGTATCCAAATTCATTTTAATTGCCCTTCTCTGAATCTTCTCCAGCTTTGTCTTTTTTAAGGTAAGTTATCTGAGTTACAATAGTATTTCAGATATAGATTTTACTATGGCTTTTATATATGGATAAGATAGGTATTATATATGGATAAGATAGTATTATGTTTTGTTTCCTACATTTGTCTTCAGCTTGTCATTTTATCAACATTCTGTTAAAGGCCTTGATGTTTTAAAAGTAACATTTTAAATACAGAAACTTAATACATGGCCCTTACCAAGAGCCTTGCAGTCACAGCCACAAAGTGTGTTCAAAAGAGCTTTGTTTGAATTTCTAATTCCTAAAAAAGGCTTTTAGTCCTCAGAGCACATAGGAGAATTTGTAGGTAGTTCAGTATAACCACTACCCCACTTTGAAAACCTCTCGATTTAAGGGTTTACTGCCATGGCGTGTGTCTCCAGTCTCCCTGTGTTGGTGAGTGGTTGATGATTATGGTGAGCACCCAAGGATTCCTGTCTAAAACTCTATTCTGTTTTTGCAGTGGATAGCCTCCTGAAATACACTGGCTATGGGAATGCTGCAGGACTCTTGGCGGCCAGGGGCCTCTTGGCTGGAGGAAGAGGAGATAATTGGTACTCAGAGGATGAGGACACAGACACTGAAGAATACAAAAATGCAAAACCAAAGTATAGTATCAAATTTATTTTCACCTAACTATGGCTGCGCCTTTAAGTTGGTTATTTGCCTTTCGCTTCCTTGTCTTTCATTTTCCAAGTGTTTCTTTCTCTTGTGGATTTGGAAGCTTTCCATTCAATGGTGTTTTTAGAGGCAATTTCATAGCTAGTGTCTTAATGAGTTCAAGTGATTGAGAAAGAGTAATACTACAAGAAATGTTCTCCCACATATTTTCAACATGCTCATTATCCTCTCCTGAGTACTAAGAGAGCTGGTGTTTTGAGATATCTACCATCATAAACTAAAAATGCGTTATTACTATTTGCCTTCTTTTCCATAGGTTGAGATTTTATAAGATATAGCCAAGACCAAGTATTTAAGTTGCTTATTTGATGCTTCAGTCTTTCTCAGAAATCTAAATGTGGGTTCCATACATTCTATCTAAACTCTTGCATAAAAGCCCTTACAAGTCAATAAAATAATGCAAGGCACATTACTATCAAAGGGAAAGAAGTCTGGCTCCACAGTGAATTTTAATCAAACACACACTTAGGGAATCATCTTTTAACAGATACATTAGTGCACTGAATAGGCAAACCAGAGACTCTATGAAGTCTTCTCTGAGTCTAATTCTCTTTTATCCCAAGATGAACCATGTCTCCTAACTTCTATTTCCTATCCATCCTTTTCATCCCCCTCTTAACCCTCTTCCCAGGTAAATGTCTTAGTTTCCACTTATTAGGAGTTACTAGAGCTCAGTTTTTTCTGGGTTCCATTACTGAACATGAGAAAAGTGTACCCTTCCCCCTTCTGGCATTATCAGTGATGTCAACATGCTGTGTTTTTTACTGATAGTCTCTAGAGTGTGATGGGGATTATGCAGTAGGTGATCAAGGATAGATTATCATTATCTGCAAAATTAAGTCCTTTTAAAAAATATATAAATTGTGCCTTGTTGGCATGAAAGTAATGGGTTGTCAGAAGGTGAAAAAAATGATCAGTCCCCTGTTAGGCAGGATGTATATGGCCTGTTTCTTGGCAAATAAGTGCTGAGTAGGTAATATTACTTTTAACATCTACAATGCTGTCAGCCTCGGCAAGATCTTGTACAGTGTGTCCTAGGGAAAAAAAAATAGCAATGACTCTAAGCAGCTTGTTCCTAAGACTACCACCATTTAGATGTTATAAATTGGGTGTCTCTATCAAGTATTTGAAGCTAAGATAGAGGAATCATGTTTCTTTCTTTCCCTAATTATAGATGTCGTTATTCTAAATTAGCCTTACTAGCTTTTTCAAATTATATTTCAACAAATTATATTTCAACGTCAGTTTCATGTTTTACATCTCTTGATTTGAACCATTAAAATACACCACTTGAAAAGTCTTGTCTTTAAATGAAGGTGAAAATTACATTAAGCATTTCTTATATCCCAGGGTATGTGGACACAGTCAACTATGATAGAAAACTCATATGAGTACCCATGGATGGTTGATAGCTTTGCATCTCAATATGTATTGTTGATTTCGTTTGGTAGTGACTTCTATAGTGTTAATAATCATTTATCTAGCAAACACTAGAATGCTACTATAACAAGGAGAAGCTTAGAGAAAACAAAAGAACACTGGATCTTTCCCAATAGTATGAGAAATAGAACTGTGTTACATTATGGAAGTGATGTTAGATTTAAAAAGACCACCTTTTGTTTAAATCAATAACTACTGTGTTTGATATTGTTACTGTCGTGGCTCTCCATCATAGGAAGTTTCTGTACGTAGGCCTCATATAAGATTCTAATTGGAATCTTCTTTAGCCTTTGGACTTGGCTTATAATGTTCATAGGAAGGATGTGTTAGTGTGGTCAGAATAGTCATCATGGTGAAATCTTGTATTAAACACTGCTCATTATAAGTATAAATATGTGTTTTTCAAGTGTCATATCTTACCCCTTCAGATAGATTTGTATCTATTTTTCTCTTAAATCTTCTTTAAGGTGAAAAGTATGGTAGGATAGCAAATATGTTACTTTAAAATACTTTTTCAAATGATCCCTGTGGAACAAAGCACTTTGCAAGCAAGAGTACCCTTTGTGTTCTAGAGAGTGATCTACAGAGCTCAGATAACTTTTTCCCTAAAAATTGTTATGAAAACTTTTTACCAATTGAGTCAAGCTTATAAAGTCAGCATCTAAAAGGATTGCTTACTCCCCTACCCCCTGATTACCCTTGACTGGTCAGAATTCCCAAGATCCCAATCTGCTTTTCTTTTTTCCTTCCCCCCACTGCTCAATCCAACTTTTCCCGACTCTGGAAAGAAATGGGAAGAGAAGGCCTTTTCCTATGATGCATTTATTCACAACAGTTGCTAGTATTGGCAGAAGCAGAGAAATTACCCTTCATCCAGTTGGCCCTAGTCCCATTGTCAAAAATTTAAGTGGATTCTGACCAGTGCACCAAGGTAACCTGTAATCCTTTACTGGAATTTGAAACCAAGAATTGTATGGAGCTTACATTCATGCTATGGGAGACAGTTAATATCACAACAATCCTTTTTGTGTCAAAATAAATGTATTTAATGGACTGGAAATGGCTTTCTGCAATTAGCAACCTTAGACAAAATACACTCATAGAATCAAGTTACATGCCACATAAGTTTTTGGTGTGTGTCTAAACCAGGTTTGTTAAAAGTTTTCAGATAAACTTTGGTCCTATATCAAAGGGAAAGCACATTTCTAAAGTCTAACTTTTATACCTATTTCTTTGATGCCTCTGAGCATGGAGGCCCCTTGATTGTATAGGTGATAAAATATAACTGACTGATGATATGGTTTGTCTATCATTCTAGACATCAATTGAAAGATGTGTGTCTCATGACATTTGATTCATTTTAGACCAGTGGCTTTCAGGCTGAATGCACAGGCATCTAGAGGTCCAAAGAAGTATCTTTAAAGTGCTGCTTTATGGAAGGGTAGAAGGAAGAGATGGCCAAAAGTGGACAGAACCCTAGAACACCTCCTTATACTCTTAACACTCCATACTAGTTCATAATCAGATCTAAAAGCTTAAAATTATTGTACTAATAAACTCAGGGGTGTTTCTTTCTTGACCTTATTTTTCTCAGCTATAGCTGTGCCCACAACTGTACAATAGTTTCTTCAGCACAAAGCAAGATACTTTTTCTTTTATTTGTCGAGATTTTGTTATGCTGCTTAAGTTCCATTATAGTTATGTCATTATATTGAGGGCTATATAAGTAATTTCTTTTAATTTTTAATACTTCTTGAAGTGAACCAGAAACTTCAAGATTTTCTTTGCCCAGTTTGGTGTATTTATATATAATAGGAATTAACTAGCATTTCTAGGAACTGGAATTTATTACGGTAAGCAGTCATAAAATGCATCTAATTTCAGATTTCTAAAAGAGTTGAAAGTAAAATCATTGCTACTTCTGCCATGTGTACTGCTTCTAGAAGTTTACTAGTCTTTGTGATATTTGCAGTCACATCTGTTTGCACTTTAAAAATTGAGTTTCTAATTTTTTTGTATTATAATCTAGGTTAATGGCCAGCAAGAATCCAGGTGCATTAGCTGAACTACAGTATTGAGGCTTTGCTCCAGTTTTTATTTTCTCTATCCTTTATGTCAGAAGATATTGCTCTTAATCAAACAGCCTAACATAGGAAACATTTAAAAAGCACTATAATTTAAAAGGCATTTTGGAGCTTTTTTGTTTTATTGCCTAGATGCAACTTGGTATTCATGCATATATATTCAGTGTGTGTGTGTGTGTGTATTTAGTATATATATGCTTGTGAGGCTGACACGTGGTAGACAGTAAATATTAGATAAATAAATGAAAGAATGATACATTATCCTGGTTCTTTCAATTGCTAATATAATGCAAAGACTTGTTTAGGATATACTTTCAGAATTTACCCTACTTCTTTAATGTGGAATCAATGTTACATTTATATAATTCTCAAATAACTTGAGACATTTTTAGAAATCAAAATACCTTATATCTGAATTTAAACTCCACAAAACCACCTATTTGTTGCGTGGTTTTTTTAGTTAATGAAGATTGCATGTGCATCTCCATATTAATGATTTAACTGAATAGAATAACTCATTTCCTGGATCATCTGAGACCTTGTGTGTTATTTCTCAGCAAGTGGCTTACTTATGCTAACAAAAATAGCTGGCATTCATTTGAGTTCTTAATATGTGCCAGACATTTTTCCAAGGACTTTACAGATATTATCTAATTTAATTTTCACAACAACTCTTTGAGGTAGGGTTATTGCCATTTACAGATGAAGAAACTAAACTCAATGCAGTACATTGTCCAGAACAACAAAAATCATAAGTGGTCAGGTGACCTGACTAGAGTTTGTGGTTTTGGGGAATTTTGTTATTTTTTGAGTTAGGCAAAGCAAGTTTGTTACTGTGCTCCTCACTCTGCCTTTTTATTTTGGGGGTAAAATATAGATAACATAAAATGTACACTTTTAACCAATATTAAGTGTGTACTGATCTGTGGCATTAAGTCCATTCACATTCTTTTGCAACCTCTAGAACTTTTTCATCTTCCCCAATGAACTTCTATACCCAGTCTCTCCCCTACTAGTACCTGGTAACCACCATTCTACTTTCTGTTTCCATGGAATCTAGGAACCTCATATAAGTAGATTTATACACACTATTTGTGCTTTTATGATTGGCTAATTTCACTTAGAATAATGTCTTCAAAATTCGTCCATATTGTAGCATGTGTCATAATTTCCCTTTTAAGGCTGAATAATAAATATTCTGTTGTATGATTATGTTTCTTAATTCACCCATCAACGGTTACTTGGGTTGCTTTCAATTTTTGGCTATTGTGAATAATGCTACTGAACATGGTGTACCAGTTATCTATTCAAGTTTCTGCTTTCACTTCTCTTGCATATATACCAAAAAGTGGAATTAATGGATCACAGGGTAGTTCTGCTGTGTTTAATTTTGTTGAGGAATTGCCATGCCATTTTACAAAGCAGCTGCACCATTTTATATTCACATCAACTATGCACAGGGTTCCCTTTTCTCCACATCCTCACAAGATATTATTTTTGGGGTGGCCTGTGTTTCAATAATAGCCATCCTAAGGGGTGTGAAGTCAGAGCTTGTGTTTTAACTGCTACTATATTTTGCATCAAAGCCAAAGGGAGAGATGAATTTGCCCTTCAAATAGTTTCTGTTCTCAGAGCATCTGTTACCTTTCTTTGATGTAACTAAAACAAGAGAAAGAAAATGTATCCTGATATCCTTGAAAACCCAAAAGTTCTATTTGATTCATTTTACATCAGTATATATTTCACATGTATCTGTCAGGTGGTTCTGGCTCTGTCTTCATAACACATTCAGAATCTAGTCACCCCTTATTGCCATCACTGCTACCACTCTGGTCCAAGCTAAAATTCTCTCTCTCCAGTATTATTTTAATAGCCTTCACACTGCTTCTACCTTTGTCCCTCCATCTTCATTTTGTTCTCAACAAAACAGTGAATGTGATCCTTATAAAACATAAGTTTGGACTATGTCAACTGCTCAAAAGTCTGAATGACTAAAAACCAAAGTCCTCACAATGGTATACTTGAATCCCTTCTTGCTGTGCTGTCATGCTGATCTCTTCACTACTGGTCATGTACTCCAGACATACTCCTACCTGCAGCCTTTGCATTGACTACTCCTTATGCCTTGGAATGCCCTTTCTCCAGATAGCTATCATATCTTATTCACTCACCTCCTTCAAGTCTTTACTCAAATATCATCTTCTCGGTGAAACCTGTTCTGTCCCCTTATTAATGCTTGCTCCTGCCTTACATTTTTTTTCCCACAGCATTTAGCACCTTCTAAAATTCCAAATAACTTACTCATTAAATCTATTTTCTCACATTAGAAGATAAGCTCCATGAGGGAAGAGATTTTTTGTGGGGGGGGTGGGTCTATTTTTGTTCGTTGAGGTATCCCCAGAATAGTGTCTGGCACACAGTAGGCACTTGGCAATTTTTTGTTGAATAAATTTTTTGAGCTGTTGAATAAGTTAATTTTGAGTTAACCCATCCTCAGTATTAGAATACCAAAATAATTGTGTTTCCTACCCTTATCAGGCTCCACATTTACATGGGGAGTGGGAACAACAGAATGGAATTTAAGAAAATCAGGACATGGTAAATTTCCATTTTGTTCTTTGTATTGTTTTAGGGGTTAACCAAATATTCTGAGTTTTTTCCCCTTGAAAGACATTTTTAGCTTCATTCCTATATGACATCTCCTATCCCACCCCACCTGCCCCTTCTTTTCTTGTCTTGGCTTACAAAATGCCTTTTTGTTAAAACCTGAACCCTTTAGTAGAGATTGCAAATTATCAGCCAGTAGGCTAGAGTTAGCCTACAAGTATGTTGTTTGACTTGCCCCGTGTAGTATTGGTTATTTGGTTTGTTTTTTGTTTTACACTGTGATTAATTACTTGCCAACATTTAGAATTCAGATATTTTAGATGAAAATCTAGATTTCTAGTTTCTTTTGAAAAATTGAAAGTTCTGATAACTGCCAACTGAATGAATTGAGTAGCTGCACTCAACCCTTCATACCAGGCATAAGGTCCTTTGGTTTGACGCCTTATCCTATTCACTTATCTTACCTGGCTACTTCCTGTAGGGATTTGACTTTGTAGTCCCTTCTTTGACCAGGATACTCTGAGTAAAATTTAAGCCATACTTCTTAGAGATTGAATTTTCACATAGCGGAGGGAACTTCTAATGCATCTTCTTTTTTTAAATGACCTAGTCATTTAACAATATCACTGTTGATACTGGCCAGATGTAGCAACAATTTAAAGAGCAGGCAAAAGACTTGAAATATAGTTCAAGCTTTTATACATGTGTTCATTTGCACATACCTCTTTAGTATGTATTAATCCTTCTGTCTCCAGGCCCATAACTGCTTGTCAGTTCATATAATGGTTATATAATATATAATTCATGATGAAATACCACAGGATTTAGACACTTCTTGTCACCTAATTAGAAGTTATAAATAAGAGTGCTGGGAAGATGGGATAGGAGAGCAAAGTGGAAGAAATCACGATAAATATAATTTACCTAATAAAATGTCCACCACAGTGTCCTTAAAAGCATCTTAAGACTCAGTGTTAACATACTGAAACCTAGAAAGTCAAGTCTCAGAGGGTACTACTTGAGGTTGTAAAGATGCCAGGTGTTTGTTCAACCAGAAAAATCTATTTCATGAAATCTCACATCATTGTTGTCATGGTGACTACTATTTGTTTTCTCTTCCTCTTCTGGGTAGGGAAACTGCATGAGATTCTGATTTGAAGAGGGGAGCAGGAGGAGACACAGTATCCATCTGCCTTCTGCCACAGCACATTGGCATTTTTCCTATAAGAGAGACACAGTTTCATGCCCTAACTTGTGTTTTCTGTGGCTTTATATTCTTCTGAGTATCAAGGGGGAAATGTCTTTTTAAAGGAAAAAATGAAACCTGAATCCCTGGAGCAACTTTGGAGGGTTGTAATGTTTTACTCCATAAGTAAAGGATGAGTTCTTATGTTGTAAGTAATGAATTTCTGGCTGCTGCTCTTACACTGAGATAGCAAAGAATTTTGTTACTTTATTAGCTAATTTTCAGATCAAGATGTTAAATCATTTTATCAGCCAGGGAACTAGGGGTCAAGCCTACGGAAAAGGGACATCATTTCCACTAAACTCTTAAAAGAACCAAGAAAAAATTGAACGTGTCCTAATCCAGGAATTCATATCCTGACTTTGTATGCTGTGGTATCCACAATACCACAGAGCTTACCAGTGTGTCCTTGTGACACATTTTTCCCCTGAGGAACACGCTCACTTATGCAAATGTCATTATATCCTAAAACAGTCTACAGACCTGATTTTTCAAATCATACCTCCATTGAATTTGAGGAGAGAAGCCTTCTCTCAAGAGTCAAATAAGCACGATCTACAAAGTTAATACCTCTACCTTCCCTTATTCTCCTAAGGCCTGATTGTATGTATCTATAATCAGTACTTTTATTTATAAGACTAGTTGTTTTTCTAATTTAGTAGGTGGCAGAAGAGAAACCAGTGAAAAGAGATATCTTGTTACATGCCTGAGCAAATAAGATGGATGGTGGAATTGCATTTTTAGTGTGGCATCTGCATCTCCATAATTCTCAGAAGCCTTGTCTGAGTCCTCTTTGTTCTTGACTTCAGGGAAATATGATGACCCAGTAAGCATTTTTGTTGATGGCTTTTTCGCTTCTCTTACCAGCACCTGTAAAAAGGAAAGGAAATATAGCACACAGGGAATATCTGAAGCAGGCAGTCTAGCTCAGTGGCTCTTAACCTCTTGGTATAACAGAATCACTTGGAAAATGTAAAAAAAATAAAATAAAAACCCACACACATACATATATAGTTGGTCTAAGGTGAGGCCCAAGTTTTTAAAGTTTCCCAAGTGACTCTACTATATAACTAAGGACAACCTGTGGGTTTTCATGCTGCCTTAAGATAAAACAAGTAGGTGGAAGACAAAGGGGTTCTAGGCCCCTCCTTGGCTATTTCTATCCCCTTTCTGCCCGAGCATTTCAACTTTTGTCCATTTTATATGTTGAGTGTCTGAGAGGAAAAAAGGTTTCTTTGTGACGAGATCTCACTATGTTGCCCACGATAGACTCAAACTCCTGGGCACAAGGCATTCTCCTGCCTTAGCCTCCCGAGTAGCTGGAACTACAGGCATATGCCCCTGTGCCCAGCTATAAAAAACGTTTTTTAACCATGGCTCTAGACATATGTCTTAAGCAAGAATGGCAAGACAGGTTTTAAATCTGTTTTTCGAGGATGGTGAGCACTCAGTCCTTCCATAAGAATCTGTATGTCATGTAGCCTCTGAGGAATGTAGAAAAAAGGAAATCTAATAGTAACAAATAACGGTATGTCATGAGCTAGCTTTTACTCCAAATGAGAAAAGCCCTGGTCAATAAAGTAACTTGCCCCAGCAAAAGTCTCACACAGGGGTTGCAAGCTGGCTGCCAGAGGATCTGATTGATCGTACTATCTTTGTTTTGGCCAACATCATTTTTTAGAAATTTGGACTGGCACTGTTTTCCCTAGTCTCCAACACTTCCCCATTGCTTACATTTGACCTACTCACTCATTTGTTTATCCTAAAGGGTTGGCCCCTGAAAGCATTTGTGTTTGTAGACCCTGGAAAGCAATTTAGGAGCAATTTACTATTTGCAAGCATATTTAATTTGATCATTAAAAACAAACCCTGTGTATTTGGCTTGTACAAGATACTGTAACCTCTTATCTGCTTCTCCAGAAAAACATTTGCTACAGATATTTAGCCAACTATTAAAAGAGTTATCTTTTATTTCCTCTCCTCAAAAACTACAGCTAAGAGAATAGTTTGCTTGGTATTAGAACTTTCTACACTTTATGCAAAGTATTCATTTTAAGTACTGCATTAAATCTATTTCCAGAAAGCCAGGACCATCTACCTGTCTCTTCGTCGGCTAGATTTCATTCCTTTTTTTTTTTAATATCTAGGGCAGATCAAACTTAAAAGGTGTTCTTCTGCTTTATCTTTTATTATTTAAACACTCATTACCCTCTGTGGTCTCACTAATGGACTAATTTCCTGAGATTATAAATTGGCATGCTTTTATTTCCAGATTGCAGCCTCTGTCATCATTTTTCCAATTTTTTTATGTCTGTTTTATGCTGTATCACAAAATGGATTTCCACATTTCTCCTTTGAAATCATTTGTCCCCTTATAATTAATAAGTTGTGCATCCAAGGATATTTATCTTAACGGCACTAATCAAATTTTATATTTTGAAAAAGCAGCCATGCCTTTTAAAAAATAAAAAAAGTTGGCAAGTCATTTTTAGTTTTTTTAAAATATATATATATATATAACCCATTTCCCACAGCAAATTAGTAGAAAAGTCAATTTTTAAGGAATTCCTATCACAGTTCAATACTATAAAATTACTATTAAAATTATTGCCAATTTTTTGGCTATTATACTCTTTCTTATTAAAACTTAAAACTTGGACCAGAAAAGTATAGAAAGAGCATAATTTTAAAACATACAGCATAACTTTTTTTTCTTTTTGTAGCATTAATCTTATCACTGGTCATTTAGAGGAACCAATGCCAAACCCCATAGATGAAATGACAGAAGAACAAAAAGAATATGAAGCCATGAAACTTGTCAACATGCTTGATAAACTTTCCAGGTATTGTATTCCCATCCATTTTTTGCTTGGTTTCTAAAAATGTTCTATTTCTTTGTCTCTCTCACTGAGAGTTACCATAGAACAGCAACACTGGAAATCCATGTTGATTGGAACAGGGTGGCCCAGGCAGCAGTAGTTCAGATATCTCTTGGCTACCATGGTTTTTCTACATGTGCCGCTTCTGGATGTGCATTCTTAAACATTTAAGCTCTCAAAGCTAGTATAGTAACTACCAGATCACTGTAATATTTAACCAACTAACCTCCCTGTCTTCAAAAAGATGCTCTGAGTTAGATCCAATGATTTTGCTGCTTCTTGTATTTTTGTTTTAGTCTGTTTTGGTTTTTGTTACAAACCATGATGCTTTTTTTTTTCTTTTCATTTTTTATGTGTAAGTTTGCAATTATGCCTTTTTGGGTTGCTGCTGAAACCAAGAATCCTAAAATGTCATGCACCCAGGAGGAAAAAGTTAAAAGAAATAGCTCAAATGAAGGATTTTCTGAAAGCAGGCACTTGTATTAATTAGGTATTCTAAAACACAATTTCCCCTTCCCCTCTTGCTTCACACCTCCTTCCACTCCCAAAAATAACCTTTAGTCTTGAAAATAATTAAATCAAATATATACTAATCAGCAACTAGTCATCTCAGAGGAGTTATTAGAAAAACAATTCCTTTCATACTTGGCTGAATTGCTCTAGTTTCCAGTCATACATTAAGTCACTATCTCCTTTAAGCCATCTTGAGTGAATGCTTCTGTGTGTTGGTGGCAGCTGCCACTTAAAGATTAATTTCTTCGGGTCGTTTCCTTTTTTACAATAACTATGTAAAAGCTAGTATCCCTCAGTTAGAGAAGTAGCAGTTGGAATGGGAAAGCCAACCACAAATGGGAGAAAACAAGAACCAAGCATAGTTTAAGGGCACAGCACAAGGCTTAGGGTTGAAATGGACAACAACAGACTGATGTGGGGAGTGTGACAAGTACAGATATTTAGACACTCTGCAGAGTGTTAGCTTTTTTCAGATGATGCTGGCAATGTGGTAGAAGTTAATTAGAAGCAAGTGGCTTCATTATCTATAAAGCTAGTGTGACTAGAATTCAGTAACTTCCAGCTAGCCCTTTTAAGTTTTCATCCTTTCTCAAGAAGGTTAGAATTTACAGCTGACTATGCTCACGATCTTTAAAAGACATTGTTGACTGTTTGCAAATTACATTCTCCATACCTTTGTATAGAACAGATATGTTCCTTCCCAAGAGGAATTAATATTCACAGAGAAGATACTGATAGGGCAAACCTATAGGAGGCAGAATGTTTGCAAATTATAAATTAACATATAAAAATAAGATGTGTGCTTAGCTACTTCCAGAAGGATCTGGTGTAGCTAATGAAACATAGTAGCATAAGTATAACAGTTAGATCCTTGCTAGCACTTCCCCTTCCAGCTTCTACCAGATGGACTCTGCTGGTTCTCATCCTATGTGGAGCATATTAGTATATTAGGACAATAAACCAGTTAAGTTGCATAAGTTTCATATTCTGACCAACAACATGAGATTTTAAAGGTAATACAGATGCTGTTTAACTGTCCCAGTTACCCTGGATGAGTAAACTCCAAACTGGGAAAAATGGAAGATGGGGGAAAGAACTACCTAAGACAATGTAATGTAATCCAGGTACTTGGCTTACTGATAGAGACACCACAATTTCATAAGGCATCCCTATCACAGGCACAGAAAGCAAAGGTGCTGGGTCCTTCTCCTTTTAATCTCAGGAGAATCTACATCTTCTAGAAGCTGCCAACAAATAAATACACAAACATCAAGTCTGAAAAACCCAAGCTTCCACCTGATGTAATAAACTATGCCTCAAAGAAGATGCATACTTACCCGAAACACCCAGCAGATGCCCAACTGAAGGTGATACTGATTTTTGCATGTGTAAAGCAGAGCACATATGTTATCTTTGATGGTACCAATTTTGCCATTTAAAGTTGAAGCAAAAGGCAGCCTTGAGAATAGTCCTAAATCATGTAGACTTTTTGCATGACGTGCAGTGGGTGTTTTACAGTGTCTGCCTTTGTGTGCTTTCTAACATTTGCTCTCACTAATAACCACCAATGATGACACGGTGTGAAGATTAGCAGTGGGCATTCCAAAGCAGGAATGCAAAGAAGGAAGCCATTCTTTATGCGTCTTACATGTTTGTTGTGCTGTATTCCTCATTAGTCTTAAGTTTCTTCTCCCTTTTCACTTTTTTTTGGAGGTAAAAAAGATGCCATAAAGCCAAAGTAGACCAAATTCAGTACAATTCAGGGAACATTTACTAAGCATCTACTCTGTGCAAGGCACTGTGCTAGGAAGCTGAGAGATTCAGAGGTAAATGTGAGTCTCTGCCTTTGGAAAACTTACATTCGGGCAAAGGAAATGGCTGTAATCCATACAAGGTAGAAGGAAAGAATGAAAAAAATGAGGTCTGTGTTGAACTGTAAGCACCCAGGAAAAGGAGCAGTTCATTCTATCTGGATGATTTGGGGAATGTTTCACAGGGAAGGTAGTAGCATTTGTGCTGATCCTAGATGTTTAAGAGGTATTTAATAGAAAAATGGACAAATGACCATTCCAGGTAGAGGGAAATTCAATCGTGTTAATAAATCTTTGGTATTCACATACTGCATCTTTCTTCCAAAGAGCTCAGGTTGTTTTATTATTATTTAATATGTTATCAAATTTTTCATTAGGGGAAGCAAGTACCAAAGAATTGCCTAAAACATGTCCAAGCTAATGACTGAAAATTCATTTCCTTTTTACAGTTTACAAAACACTTTCACATACATTCTCTTTCTGACTTCATAATAAAGTTAGACTAGGACTTCATTTTCTAGACCTCAAGACCTTTGCTCTGTCCACTGTGCTACTGTGTCTGTCTGTTATAGTGTTTGCCAGAATACTTCCTAATCATCCTCTCGGCATTGTATTATTGGTTAGTTCCCTCAGCTGTCACTCTAGGATGTTCTGCATTCAACCAAGTCTTTACTGTGCTAAGAGTGTACTATAGCTTTGTCTGATTAACTTTCCTTCTCAAAATGAAATCATTTTCTTGTGTACCTGAATTGAAAGGCATGTGAGTAAAAGGATAGGATTGGAGGTGACGTGGCCAATGAATGGACACTAGACACTTCCTTTTTTCCATCCATAGGAGAGCAGATGTGAAGGACCTGCACCAGGATGGTGGTTAGCATCAGTGGCCCGTGCCAAAGCACTTACCAAAGTGATGACTAAGGTTGGTCATGCCAAGTACTGTTACTGAGCCTGGTGTAGGGTATAGATGTTATTCACTGCCAAAATTGCAAAACCACCAATGTAAAACTTAAAATTACATTTCCGTCTTGCCTCCATGCTGAACATAGCCACTGCCTCAGGGGGCTCACCGCCACTTTGGCAGCTTTCTCTCAGCTAGAGTTCCAAGGATACTGAAGAGATTAGTGCTCATATATTTTCTTCCCATTGAGTACCAACTGACTTAAGAGTATTCCAAGTGATTTTTTATTTTTTTAGTATAAGGATTATATTTGTGACAGATGTAGATAAGGGGATTGGCAGTGTACCTGGAGGTCTTAAGAGTTGGAGAATGATCTGAACACTATAAATCCCATCATGTCTAGCTAGTACAGTGCCTTGTACCCTGTGGTTTCATAGTGTGTGATGAGGAAATAATGAAAACAGCTGATCCCCAAGTTTAAGGGTCAGGTTTTTGCTCTATAAAACAACCTACATGATTTAAGACTTTAAAGTATAATACTTTGTTGGTTCCATTTCTTGGCCAGATGTCATAAAATTCAGGGCTGAAAAGGAATTCCATAAAGTACTTTGGGCCATGACCGGCTAATTTAAATTTGAGTTATATAATTCCTTTAATATAAAATAATCATTATAATATGTATCAAACATAAGCATTAAAACCTGAGATATGAAATTATAGGAAGTTTCAATTTGACACTTTTAATATGAGAGCAGAGGTGGAAAAGGGGATGAAATATGCCTATCTCTTGACCTCCTTTTTCCTTGTCTGACTTGGAAAAAAATAAACCCCTGCAACTTAAGCAGGAGATTAGAATGGGGATTTTATATGGTTAAGCAAGTCCACTGTGGCTAATACAATTGCCTTTGCCTTAGCTACAGCACACAACTTGTATACAGTAATGGTGTGTCCTCCAAAAAAGGGGAGAGAGCATTGATTGGCTTAAGCTTAAACTAACCAAGGGAAATAATATTTCAGTTTACACTTTTGTTTTGACTTCTCTAATCCCCTTTAGTTTCTTAATTGGAACTAGAACTGATTAATCCTCTACCCTTACCCTCATCCCTACTTATCAAGGTCCATTGCCTCTTTGCTTATATATTCTACCATCAAAATCTATGTTTTAACATTTATATAAATAAAAATTGTCCTACCATTTTTCTTCCTTTTCACATCTCCTTAGCCAGTAATTTTTTTGTTGTGGTTTTTTTGGTTTTTTTGCCAGCCATTGTGTACTATATGGGACATGGCTTTCTTAATAAATGCAGGCACCAAATACAGGAATACTTCTCTTTAATCCAAAGACTAATTTTAAACTTACTAAGGCTGAGACAGGTGATTTATAACTAAAAAGTAACAATTTTTTCTTATTAAGTAATCTTATATATCCTTACAAAAATATCATCTGTGATTACACCTACCTTTGTGATAAATTAGTCAAGGAAATGCTTTTCAGGGACATTTCAGAAACATGATCCAATTTTTAAAGCATTGGAAGATCTAGTGCAGGTATAAAAAGGAATAAAGATCTTAATTGTTTCCATCAGAAAATCCTTTAGATCTGTCCAGTATAGTAACCACTAGCCATATATGACTATTGAGCACTTGAAATGTGGTTAGTCTGAATTGGGAAGTCCTATAAGTGTAAAATAATCAGATTTCAAAGACTTAGTATAAAAAAGAGGATGTAAAATATCTCATTAATTGTTTAATATGAATTACATGTTTAAGTGATAATTTTTTAATATATTGGGTTAAATAAAATATGCTATTAAAATTAATTTTACCTTTTTCAGTGTGGCTACTAGAACATTTAAGATTATATATACATATGGCTTATATTCTATTTCTATTAGACAGCACTGCTCTATCACTAAAATACACCGTAAGGTTGCTTGGAAATTCAATTAAGAGGGCTTGGATCCAGTTTAATTAATATACCATAAAAGTGGCAAGGGAGGATTAATTTGAAAAGCTTGACACTGTATATCTTTAGGTTATAGAGGACGCTGTTAATGGTTAGATGTATGTAAGTAGGATGTCATGATACCTTTGTATTGCCTATTGGTAGTCATTGCCGTTTAGATCTGTAGTGGAAGTGACTACTTTGACCTTTTGGTTAAAGCAGAGGCTGAAATAAATGGCATTTGACTATTAGAGAAACATCAAGTAAGAAAAATCTCCACTGCCTGTCTGCTGTCTTAGTTTCACTCTTTAAGTCTTCCTATTTAGGAAGAACATTAAGAACTTTTATTTCTACTACTTTATTCAACAGTGTCAGCTGGCATGCTGACTTCTTATTAACATTTTGTTAATTTGAACAAAAGGGTAGGAAAGTTCTATAAATAAATTACCAACAAATAATAAAGAACATTGTCACTTAAGGATAAAAGTGAATTTTATTCTTCCAGCACTATCCCTAACCTCTTTCTCTATATTTTCTTAACAATGCTGTTTAATGTGGAGTAGCAAATTTTTAGAAGCTTTGCATGCTATCTTCTAACAGAAATGAGAACAGTAATAAAGGACTAATACTCATAAGCACTTTAAGGTTTAAAAAATGCTTTCATATACGTTATATCTATTGATCTTTAAAATAGCCCTGTGAATTAAATAGGGCAAGAGGTATATTATTAAGAAATAAATGTACCAAAGATTAAGTGGCTAACCCAAGGTAAAGCATCTAGTTAATGACAGCCACCAGGACTCAGTTCTCAGTCTTCAGACTCCAGATTGTATGCTGTTGTTAGACTGATTATTTTCAAGTGACACATTCTAAATTTTAAATAAGTGAAAAGCACAAAAGACAGATAGTAAGCATATTTACCTTAGACAAGAACTAAGACTTGGAGGACATGCATCCCTCCTTTTTCATTCCATAGTTGAGCTCTTCTCAAATACCAGGTCAAGTGCTAAATAAACAGCTTATATTTAAGAAGAAAAAAAAAAGCTTTATATGAGGGAAACCAGTAAAATTTCTATGATTCTTTGTTAATATTTTAATTGTTTTTAAAGGAGAATGAATATAAATATTCTAATAAATTCTTATATATGTGATCACATTAATAAAACCTGACTTTAAAAAGGCTATTGTATGGGACTATTTAGACAATCCCCAATTACCTTTACAAGGTGGAAGGACATGGTGATGTGGACAATACATGATGTCCATTTGTCTTGGGAATATTTTTATGTTGCATATTCACTTTCCCAATTGTACCCAATCCCAAAGCATCATGATGAGGGCTAAGGGAGGGATTTCAGAATTGTTTTTGAAAGATGCAGCCAAAAGACTTCAAATTTGCTATGGAAAAGCCACCATACCCCTCCTTCCTACTTGGGTTAGTGGTTTAGTAAAAGATTAGTAACAACCAGTCAGCACTAGGAAGCCATTAGATGAAAGGTGAAGGGTCAGGTCCAAACCCAGAGGCCACTTTCATAGTATCTAACTGAACAAGTTAACCAGTCCTAAAGGTTATAATTTGTGAGGAAAAAAAAGAATTAAAAACATTTATGCTCGAGCTCGGTGGCTCATGCCTGTAATCCTAGCACTCTGGGAAGGCCGAGGCAGGAGGATCACTTGAGGTCAGGAGTTCAAGACCAGTCTGAGCAAAAGGGACCCCCCATCTCTACTAGAAATAGAAAAAATGAGCTGGGCAACTAAAAGTAGAAAAAAATTAGCCAAGCATGGTGGCACACTTCTGTAGTCTCAGCTACTCAGGAGGCTTGAGCCCAGGAGTTTCAGGTTGCTATGAGGTAGGCTGATACGATGGCACTCTAGCTCGGGCAACAGAGAAGACCCTGCCTCAAAAAAGAAAAAAAAAATTATAAGAATATCACATGTTATTGGGAAATCCATTGCACTGCAGTGGATTATGAACTATTCTAGTGATGCTAAAACCTTAATATGCACTCTCAGACTTGGAATTATAGCAAAGACTACAGAGCTTCCTTCTCAGGGCTATCACAGGTTCCATGCTAACAGGCATTTTTGAAAAGCTCTGTTAATTAAAATCCTTTATTTAAATACTAATTTCTCACCCCATCTTTCAAATGTAAAAAGAATTAAATATGAAATGGCTAATTTAAAATGTCAGAGTTCTTTTTTCCAAGCCAACCTTACATTAAGAGCAGGAATCCCTGTGCCAAAGAAATGGTTCCCAATTATCCTGTCTTGCGTTTTGTTATACATTGTACAGAAGTCAACAAAACAAGTATGTAACAGAACCTGCCTAAATAGCAGCCACCCTCATTAAAAACGGAGAATTAATCAGGGGGTGATTGAAGGAAGCAATGCCTCATAGATTTACCCCCCTTTTCTTCTTTTCTAATCATAGAACAAAATATGTTACATAAAAGGATCGGAACTATTATGCAGTACTCAATTAGAGGGAGGTGAATAGGTCTCTAACATGCTGTTTTATCAAAAGAGCAGACTGGTGTTTGCATGACTGTTGTTTCATTACAGACCCTGTCATTAATTCCATGTGTCAATACTGCCCTGTAGTACACAGAGCAGACAAGAAAGAAGAGCCCTTGAAAACAAGGGAATGATTTTTGAGTCGTTATCAAGCTAAGTGGCAAGCGGGAAGCTGAAACTCGTATAGGTAAATTCGAAGGGACTCTTGGGAGATCTGCAAGTGGGAAACAAGAATGCATTTTACCAACTGCTTAATTATGTCCTGTTTTTCAACAAGTACACTTGAATTGAATGCTTTGTTTGTATTGCACAAAAACATGTGCTGCGGGCAAGAGTATTCTCTTGCTTCCAGGTCAAGTAAGGTGTTTTATACACATACACATCCAACCTATTCTGTAATGTGCAATTGGGTATATTAGTATCTGAACCCCAATACTGCACTATCATTTCTCGGGGAAAGAGTCACAGAGGAATCAGAAGCCCTAAAAAAAATGGGACCTTCTCAAGATTCTGAGAAGTTCTATAAGCCCAGGCATCCCACAGTACCATACTTACAGGGAAATGGTGGCTCAGGAAAATGTTAAAATTTTATCTGGAAAAAAAAAAAGACCAGAAAATGTTAAATGTGGTATAAAGTCCATAATCTCCCACCCCTAGATCTTTAAGAAAGTATTTTTTGGTTTCCATTAGTAGTCCCAAGGGTTAGGCTGGGGCAAAATAGGGTTTCCATTCTTGGACGTGCTTTATCTGTGTCCTCTTGCCTGGCCAAGCCCTTATAGATTATGGTTCCTTATCGTTTAGTAAGATCAAATTTCTAAATGATGTTTCGTTCCAGTTGAACATTCTTGGAGGCTTATCTCTTCCATGGCCAGATGCCTGATCAGATGAGAAGCCCGCCATGATACTGTCACAGTGCCTAGAATGGGCTCTTTATCCAGTAGACATCACTGTACTTTTTGATACGAGGGCAGTCTTAACTTGTGTTAAGGCCTGTGTATAGCATTGAAGGTAAGTATGAAGGAGTTGTTGCTATGTGAATATCTTAATCCTGATACACATTTCAATATACATTATCTCCGTTTTACCATGATATGCATATATCTGACACCTAGCCATCCTTTTTAGATAGGACCTTCATAACTTAGGACCAGTAACTCTTCATGAAATGGCCTGTTTATTAAGTGCCATGATTGAATTTGGATCCTTCTTTGTAGCATTGCCATTGCTTTGATTTACCTTTGTAATCATTTTAATTATTTGCTGGTAGTTTTGCAGGGAGGGTTTGTGGTCTTAGTGTATGTCAGTTACAATTAGGTAGGAAGCTGTGTTTGACTCGTAGGTTTAGAATATCTGCATTAGAAATAAAGGCTTAGTAATAATGAATATGAGTGTTTTAGAAAACCTAGTGGTTTTTTAAACCTAAAATGATTTAATAACCTAATACTTAGACTTTTGAAATTAGTGTAGAATATTGGGGATCATCTTGTCCAACCACTCATTTTATAGATGGGGAGACTCACACCCAGAGAGGCAAATGACTTGCCCAAGGACACCTAAGCAAGTTAGCAGAAGATCTGAGACCAGAATGTAGATCTCCTGATGCCCCATGTATAAGAAGCCAAGTTATACCAGTTAGTGGTTGTGAAATCCAGGCTGTATGGTAAAAAGGAGGCCTGATTTCTGCTGGACTGTCAGAATGTCTGACAACATTGACTCATCAAGGAAATAATTATGATTAAGATAATTTGAGAATGATTCCTGACAAATGGTCTTTACCACTCTCCATGTATGCTACATTTACTGAGCACCTACTGTGTGCTCTGTTGTATAGTAGATACTGGCAGATCACAGCCAGATAAGACATGGACTCTGCCCTCAAGTTGCTCGCAGTCTAGTAGACATCAAGAAATCCCTAGAAAGCATTATGCAGAATTTCTTACAGAATGTTAACGCCTTTCCTAATTCTGTAAATCTTGATGATGAAAGTAAATCTTTTACCCAAAGATGTAGCTTTTCTCTTGTTCATGGTTTAGTCATTAGAAGTCCTATAAGACACCATACCTTTTCTCTCTGTGAAAATGCAAGATAATATAAAATGCAACAAAATTTAGCTCACAAATACTGAGGATCTGCTACCTGCAAGGCACTGTGCTAGACACGTAGGGATATGAAAATTGAATAATTGAAGCGTAGAGCATATTTTCTTTTTAATATGTCAGAGCAATATTGGTTTGTAGCTTTTAAACTTTGTAATGAATTATTTTTAATGTCCTTAAAAGTGTGTGGGGGGGGGCAGGCTTTTGAAATAGAAGACAAAAATACATCTGTACTCAAATCCAGACTTCGTAGCCTAGGATTCAACGTCTCCATGAGTCCTCTTTTGTAACCCATATCTCTTTTGAGCTTTCTTTTTCCTTTACCTCAGCTGAGCCAGCCTGCTTGCTAGTCCCTGCACACAACTAACTCTTGCTTCTGTGCCTCTGCTTAACTAATTTTTCTGCTCTGGGATGCCTTTCTGCCCATGAATCCATGTCCATCATTCCATACACTCTGACCGAAGCCCACCTAGTGCAAGGAGCTTGTGGTTGGCGTTCCTGTCTCCTGTGTCCCTCCCACATGTGCATAGCCCATGTGACTGGTGAAGGAACATTTCTGTGATGTTCATTAAAGCTTCCCATTCTCTGTCCACATCTTGCTGATCGATACAACAGATTGTAAATGAAACAGTCCAGTGTAACCAGGTCATTTACCAGGGCTTTTAGGAGCGAGTCTCTCTCTATTTCAAAGATTTCATTTTGGTATTTGTGGGCTGCTAGTTGTAGGACAGAGAGGAAGAAGATTAGAAAAGTTAGGATGAGGGTATGAGAAACAAGCCTGGGGTCCATAAGGAAAAACAGTCACACATCTGTAAATGATCCTCTCCTTCTACTCCCAAACAGGATAAGAAACCTCCTTTAAACCAATTTAGAATCCAATAAGGGTGTATTGACAAACTGTCAAGCTTAAGGAAAGCAGGGCTCTGCCTGTTAATCATCTCAAGCTTGTTGATCTGCTGTTCTGTAATTCTTTCAATATTGTTTAATGTGTGTGTGTTTTATCTTCTGAACTGACTAAAAGCTTCTTGAGGACAGGGACCATGTCTTTTATTCGCTTCTGCATATTTTTCCCCCATTTGTTCCTAAATAGCATGTTCTATAAGTACATAAAGAACAGGAACTGCAGCTTGTACGTTCCAACTACATTCCACCCTAATACTACACTACACACTTTATATGTATAATAGCCTTTTGCCCTCATGACAGCTTAGTGAGGTAGGCATTCCTATCCTAATTCTACAGATGAGGAAACTGAAATTCAGAGAATTTAAGGTCTTATGGCTGCTGAGTGGTTCCGCCAGATTTAGAACTCAGGTCTGTCTGACTCCAAAACCTGTATGTGATCTTCACTATATCACAGTGATAACAACAAATATTTAGGAGTCCTTTAAAGTACACAGAACTGTTTGATCTACATTATCATTACTACTGCTACTGTTACTATTAGTCTTTACATCATCACCAAGAAGTAGGTAGAGCTAGTATTATCGTGACCCCCATTTCACAGAGAGGGAAACTGAGACTCAAAGACTTGCCCAAGATCACACAGCTGGTAAGTGGAAAAATCAGGACTTCAGACTCTAGATCTTTTTGCTCTTTCCATATCACATTGCTGCCTTAATTCATTTGCACGAATGCATGATTATATGGCCAGTTTTCACTGACACCTTTCCTACAGAAATGTCAGTAAGCCCAGGCATTGCATGGAGCCATGTGGAAAAGAAAATAATTCATACCTTCAGAGGAGCTTCCATTTTAATGGAAGGGTGATAAAAAGCACCCCAAAAAATAAATGCTTGAGGCCGGGCGAGGTGGCTCATGCCTGTAATCCTAGCACTCTGGGAGGCCGAGGCGGGCAGATTGCTCGAGGTCAGGAGTTCGAAACCAGCCTGAGCAAGAGTGAGACCCCGTCTCTACCATAAATAGAAAGAAATTAATTGGCCAACTAATATATATATATATAGAAAAAATTAGCCGGGCATGGTGGCACATACCTGTAGTCCCAGCTAGTTGGGAGGCTGAGGCAGCAGGATTGCTTGAGCCCAGGAGTTTGAGATTGCTGTGAGCTAGGCTGATGCCACGGCACTCACTCTAGCCTGGGCAACAAAGCGAGACTCTGTCTCAAAAAAAATGCTTGAATAGTTCACAAGTGAGAATTAAAATATGGGGCCCTTTGTTCAGTAAACGAAATCCCATAATTTGGCCATAAAACTAATAGAATATTTTAAATTATTTCCATAGTAAAATTGGATTAGGGAATAGGGATATGAAGCCAGTAGACTTATTTGAAAATATTCCTCCTGGAGTTAAATGAGAAAGTGCTAGGTACTTCATACAAGCTAGTAGCTAGCTCCAGAACCATCCCGTTATCAAAGAGAAGCAGTAGTGTCAGTCTCAGGGTTGATGGTCTGTGTAGCCAGTAATTCATCACTTTCATTAGTAGGATCTCTCTAGTCCCATCTGCCAGTCTTCCTCCTCCCTGTCCCTGCTCTGCAGCCACTACCCCACCTCACTATGTCCCTTTAGACTCTGAACTTTCTAATCCTTCAGTGTTTCATTCCCAGTAGACTGTCCCCCTTCTCCTTTTGCATCAGCTATTATAGTGTCCAGGATCACAAAGTCCTTCAGCACAACCAGAACTAGGAAAATGTATATCATAAAATATAGATATGGAGTGCGCATCAGTGCTAAAGAGTTGTTTTCATGGAAACAAATTATTCCTAGCTCTCCACTGAACATTTCTACCTGGTTGTCATGCACTTCAAGGTCTACATGTCCTACAAAATACCAGCATCTCCCCACCAAATCCACTCCATCTCCTGTGTCCTAGCCCCAGTGAATAGTGTCACCTCTACTTGGTCTGAGCTGGGGACACAGGGATAACTCCACTCCTTATTCTCCTTCACCAGCCCCTTGCCTTTCCAATGGGTCATCAGCTCTACCTCATAAATGTTTCCTTTTCTTCCCACAACCTCAGCCTTAATCCAGCTCTGTCTCCTCTCCCACACACTGTTATGATGACCTCCTAATGACTTGTCTCTCTACCACCAGTTCCAATGTGTCTGTCACACTGCTGCCAGAGGTACTGTCTTATGCAACAAACCTAACTGGACACACCTTACAGGGTAAAGTCTAAGCTCCTTACTTTGGCATTTAAGACATTTGACCGTTGGATCCTAAGTAACCCTCACAGCCTTACCTCTTCCCACTCCCAAACACAGGGCCTTTTCCCCGAGAAGGGAAAGCTTCATGAGAGCCGATATAGAAAAGATAAACTCACTGACACAATCCAGAAAGGTCTGCAAAAATCACACAGGTCAGTGGGACCATACAGAGCTCTTCACACAGTCTCCTTTGCTTGGAATGCTTTGTGCCCTCTGCCCGGTGCAGGACCCTCATGGACACCTCACTGGTGCTGCCTTCCCCAGGCAGTTAGGGCAATGCTTCATCTCAGGAGCTGCCATAGTTATTTGTTCATAATTCTCGTATGGCATTTACCCCTTTACATTCTAAGTTATCTTTTTTTATGTATTTATTTTACCTGCTCAAGGGCGGCAGCTATACCCAGTGTTCCTTTTCTTCCCAGTTCCTGTCACATAGTTATTATTAAGCAGATGTTGAACAGATGAAGTCACAATGCTCCTCCAATGCAGTTAGGGCAGTTACTCTAGATGCGGTGTGCTGCAAAGAGTACTGGACAGGGATTCAGGAGACCCATGTCCTAAGTCCAACTCTGCTACTAGATAAGTGACCTTGGGTAAGTCACTCAGTCTCCTTTATTAAAGAAGGGGGTTGGACTAAATGATCTCTAAGGCCCCTTCCAACTTCAAGTTCTATGATTCTGACCCCATTTTTCAGATCAGGAAACACATTTCCTCCTTTGTAATATTCAGAAGCCTCAACTTACTTAGCCTGGCTGCCATCCACATTTCCCAAATAGATTTTTCAAACTCTTGGAAGTAGTCTTCTGGTGTTAGCCAGGGCTGCTTAATTAGGCTTCTGTTGGCTTATCCCGTGATCATTGAGCTGTTGTCACCCCTCCCCAGGAGGCTTCACTGTGTTTATACCACCATCACACTGTTGCGTGGCTGCCCCTTCCCAGGAAGGAGATCTTCTTTGTGCTGACCTAAGGGACAACTGCAAGGGGCCAGTCATTGCTTTTAATCCAAATCCCACTAACATTATAGCTGCTGCCATGTCGGTTCTTGGCTATAGACAGGTTTTAAGGGGGTGATGCCCATTTCTGTGAGAAATAAGTTTTAAGCAGTTCGTGGGACTCTTCAAGGCCACTCTTAAGTATACTGATGACCTTTTAGGGCTGGGAGGATTGGAGTTAGCAACTCAACAGGTATGTTTGCCATAATCTCCATGTAATAAATAAGAGCCTATGAAAAGATTAAATCTTTCCTAATGCTTTTTGATTGGCTTAATCAATAATTAATCATCTTTAGATGAGGCTGTAACTTGTGGAGTAGATATAATTGGATTAGCTGAAAAGCAGCAGTTGGGGAGCTTTGAAGAGATTAAAATGGCTGTCAATCCCATAATTAAACTGCCACAAACAAAAGCAATGGTGTTTTCAAAAAAAAAAAAAAAAGAAAAAGTAAAGAAAGAGTGAAAGAGAGAAAGCAGGAAAGAAAAGTCAAGGAGAAAGCTGGGGAAGGCCAACTCATTTGAAATGAATCAACAAGTACTAGAGATTGTGGAGGCAAAAATCTAATCTAATGGATTTATTCCATTGAATGAAATGCATACATATCAAATCAGCTGCTTAATTGTATGGCTTAACCATTGGGGCAGGTGAAGTTTTGGCAGCTTCAACTTCACTAAAATAAAACAAATCCAAAAAAGGAGAAAAAGTTAATTATTTAAAACAGAAGAGACCTGCTCCTTGTCCCGAGCCCATTTAGACCTTGACTTTTCATACTTTTAATTGGCTTAGTAGGTTTGGCCTGTGTGAATGAAGTCTTTTATCTCCCTCTTTTTCTTTCCATGCCCCTTTCATCTTTCCTATTATAAACACACAGAGAGCTTGAGGGAAAATACTTTGGTTTTTAAAGACTTTTTCTTTTTAGTGGATTTGGGTGGGGGGAGGGGCATGTGTGTGATGCTGGTGAATACTTTTTTTTTTCTTTCTCTTTTATCTCTTTTTCCAGAGAGGAGTTGCTTAAACCAATGGGACTAAAACCTGATGGGACAATAACACCTTTGGAAGAAGCACTCAACCAGTACTCTGTCATCGAAGAGACCAGCTCTGACACAGACTAAAAGCATCACCTGCTCAATTCTCAATATTGCTTTTATCAGCATCTTTTCTCTGTAGCTCCAGGGGAATCTATTCTCTAAAACATTTATGCCCTTGCTTTGGCTAGAAAACACATTAACTGGTTTACTCATTGAGAATCCAGCATATTTAAGAGGTGATCCTGTGTTTTTTTTGCGATATTGAGGCATTCATACAGAGCTTCAGTTAGGTGGAGTTACAGGGGCTAGAAGCAGAAAAAAAAATCCATTTCATCAGGATGGAACTGAAGGATTTTATTCTATAAAGCAGCCCTGGTTGGATCTGGCAATTCTGTTTGCCAGGATTCTTAGCAGAAGATTTAGCCATGTCCTTCCTCACTTGTGTGAGCTGCCCCTTCCGAATCTCTCCAGCAGCCAGAGGCACGTGAGAAGCAGAGTGAGCTGGCAAATAAAGGCTGAGGCAAGTTTCTCCTTAGATCAGGACTAAGTGGAAGCCAAGCAGCTGCTCCGTGAACCAAGCCCCACTCTTCGTATCAATTTTGTATAAATATATAGAAACACACACACAGCCCCAGACTTACAAACTGATTATACTCTAAAGTTTTTATGTCAGTTATCTAAAACTTGAGAATACATTTCTCCCTATAAAGAATTATAAATGATGGTTTAGTTCCCAGGCAGCTACAAATGCCTATTTATTCCCTAATGTTCATGAACACTAGTACCACAGAACTGAACCACCATCTGTATCAGTGTATGGGGAGCATGCATTCTGAGGTTTAACCCAGGGTGCCAGGAACACACACATCCTCCATCCCAGCAGAGAGAATGGGACTCCCTGAGTAGTGGAAGTTCTTTTGTGGCCTCTGCTGGGCATGGGGTAGTCAGCAGCACCCACTTGTACATAGAGGTCATTCATATGTCACACGTTTTAAATTGGGGACTGTGTGTGTGCTGGTGTGTGTGTGTGTTCTACCTTTCTACCATATGTGATCAGTCTAATAGTAACTTTATTTATTTAAAACAAGGAAAAGAAACACAAATAGTTACTGTTAAACTGATTAAGGTTGTTTATTTTTATTTTTAGAATTGGTCCTATGAAGTAGAAACTGAATCATGCAGTAGACAGTGGGCCTAGTTGATCAGTGGCTAAAGTTAAAAAGGGGTTGGTTTCCTTTATATGTATGTATGTATGTGTGTGTGTATATGCATACATATATATACATATATACATAATGTGCTTAACCACTGCCTTTTAAAACTTTAAATTAAATAAAACATTGGGGTTGATTAAATTTAGCCATCTGTGTGTGTTTCTTTATAGTTACATGGGCTAAACAATACTATTTCACAGTTTATGCTTTTTTAAAGTGCTTTTACATCCATAATCCCACTTATCATAATAGCCTTCTCTAGGATAGGTAAAGTATGTGGAGTATTAGTGAAAATGTCATTTCTCCAGAAGTTACTTCTCTGGCAAAGTAACAAATCAGGAATGGAGTTTTAAAAGGCCTTTAAACTGCCAGAAGAGATGTCAAAGTTTCTTGCGATTTACTCACAGGAGAAATCGTCAAGAATATCATCACTATTAGCCTGTGTACTAAAATTTGCATACATTTCTAACATGTGTAGTTATCTGGCTTTTAAGCTCACAAAACAATGGCAAAGAAGGAGGCTGCTAGATTGAAGGCAAGCGTACCGAAAACAGCAAAAAAGTCAACTGAAAACTAGATAGCAAGATCGTTAGAATTAAAAAAAAAAACTATTCAAGGTATAGCAAATCTGGGACTATCTATTTACCAAAGGATACTCTAGTTAACCTAGAAAATGTGTATATAACAGTGTGGTCCATAGACTAATTCTCATGATGACCCTGCATTTCTTTAAGAATAAATCCAGAATACTTTTTTAAAGGCTAGGAAGAATACAATTCATTTCAGAATTTTCATCTAAACTGGTTGAAGGAGATGTTGTGGGTGACCTGTGTTTTAACCAACAACAAACAAAATGAAACTTGGCAATTCATATCTTTAAGTGAAAAAAGTTTAGAAAAAAGAATTTAAGTATTTTTGTTATATCATTCTACAAATGCATTTTTGAAGTATTTTTATAATTTCTACAATCAGATAGCTTTGGCATGAGTTGTCGGCTTACCCAAATGAAGACATGTTTTATGAAATACCCATCTTACCAGCTTTATGCAGAGTTAAGTGTTTGAACAGTCCTGTTTAAGTAGCTGTGCTTTTCTACTTTCAGTGAGTTCTGTTTCATTTTGTGTTTCTCCGCACTGAGCACTAAGCTTTGTTGTCGAAGAGAGCAGATTTGTGGAGGGAGATGAGAGTGACCTCATCTCTCATCTTTTACATAGAAAGAGAACTAACATCTGTTGAGTGCTTACTATGTGCTGGGCTTTTTATTTATGTTATCTCATGGAACCTCATCATATATTCTGTGGGAGATCCTCTCCAGAAAGCTATGTAAGTTACCCCGCGTCACAGCAAGGAAGAGTCCAACTCCGGTGGCCAGCTCCCAGCACCACTCCTTCCCCTCCCTTCTGCACACCTGGGCCCACACTGTGCCTCCTTCGGACTCTGCAATGCTGGGAACAGAATTGGGTGGGGAGGGTGGTCATCCTCAGGCCATTTTAAGCAATAACTATATCAGCAGAACCAGTTTAAAGACCTTTTTAAGCAGGGAAGTGATTGGGAGTGGAAGTGTGAGTGGGAAACTTGCTCAATTGGCACTAGATTTCAGATGAACACCTGAAATCCTTTAGGGTAAGACAGAGACCAAAGCCTGCAGGCTGGCCCCTCTACCCACAACCCTCCTGACTGTGGAAGCAGAGTACAGAAGAGTGTGTCCTTATAATAAGGCATTTGAGCTGCCACTGTAAAGGAACAATTGCCAGACATTTGTGACCCTTTCAGCTGCTCAGTGGTCCTGGGAGGGGGCAGGGCAGGGCAGGTGTTATTATCCCTCCTTTGTAAGTGGGGACACAGACTGAGGCAATACAAGTGACTCTAAACACACCCTCAGCCACATCAGTCTTGTCACCTCCTAGGACTAGGTGTCACCTGTATTGACTTCCTTTTTCCCCAATTATAAAAGTAATATATATGTTTATTGTGGAAAGTTTGGAAAATGCAGAATAAAATTAATAATCTACCCCAAATCCCACCATCCTGAGATAATCACTGTTAATGTTTTAGTGTATTTCCTTCCTGTATTTTTTCTATGCATATATAATTTATTTTACTACAAGATTGGGATCATGCTGTATTTACAGATTTGTATCCTGCTTTCTTCTTTAACATTGTGAGCATTTTCCCATGTCAATAAATATTCTTCAAAAATTAATGGCTATATGATATTCCATTCTATGAATTGTGGCAAACATTGCTACTTGCCTACCCAATATTCTTCCAAACAGAAGTAGTCATGACCTATACCCCACCCACCCAAGAGAGGTGCCTGTTCCTTTCTGGAAGGCAGCATGAGCACTGTCGGCACTGAAGAGCTACGAGAACTAGGAATGGCACCAGGAGCAGACTCGCTCTGCCTCCAGCACCAGACTTCCAGAAGCCTCAGCAGCACACATCATGACACAGCTAGATTAAGTGCCCAGATAACTCCGTATTTTGTCAAGGAGGGCCATTTGAAGGTAGCGAGGAAGTCAGATGTCTTAGAAAAGTCTGCATGTAAAAAAGAAAAACCAGGCCGGGCGTGGTGGCTCACGCTTGTAATCCTAGCACTCTGGGAGGCCGAGGCGGGCGGATTGCTCAAGGTCAGGAGTTCAAAACCAGCCTGAGCGAGACCCCGTCTCTACTATAAAAATAGAAAGAAATTAATTGGCCAACTAATATATATATAAAAAATTAGCTGGGCATGGTGGCGCGTGCCTGTAGTCCCAGCTACTCGGGAGGCTGAGGCAGGAGGATTGCTTGAGCCCAGGAGTTTGAGGTTGCTGTGAGCTAGGCTGACGCCACGGCACTCACTCTAGCCTGGGCAACAAGCGAGACTCTGTCTCAAAAAAAAAAAAGAAAAACCAAAAAACTGCCAACCACATTTAGTGTATAGACCAGTTATTGGTGTTAATTTTCTTGGAAATATTCACCGCAGTTCCAGAAGTGGAGGGGGTTGCATGAGGATGGGGAGTGATGTGTTACTCTCAGGAAAAGCAAGGCAACACCTGTGAGAACTATTGGGTATGTGATAAGCACAATATGGAGAACAGATGAACAGTGCTGGCTGGCTGGGCATAGCTGCTCATGCCTGTAATCCTAGCACTTTGGGAGGCAGAGGCAGGAAGATCACTTGAGCCCAGGAGTTTGAGACCAGCCTGGGCAACACAGCAAGACCCCATCTCTACCAAAAAAAAAAAAAATTAGCTAGGCATTGTGGTGCGTGCCTGTGGTCTCAGCTACTTGGAAGGCTGAGGCTGAAGGATCACTTGAGCCCAGGAGTTTGAAGCTACAGTGAGCTATGATCATACCACTGTACTCAAGCCTGGGTGACAGCAAGACCCTGTCTCCAAAAAATAATAAAAATGAATAGTGCTCTAGGAACAAATCGTGGGTAAGGGAGAGAGAGATCTGTAACAACTGTAGGAAGATTTAAGGGAAGGGTGGGGGTTCTAGAGAGGACTTCTTAAAGAGATATGACTTGATGCGCTGTGCTGAGCTCCTGCACCAGGTCTTCAAAGAACATCAGAGCAGCCTTTCCTGCAGAGGAGGGGCTGGGAGGTAATAAAGCCTCCAGCCCCTGTGCCCTGCATTTAGACAAGTAACACACATTCCTATGCATCTAGAACAGTGTTAGTCATACAGCATCCTCATGAGAACAGAAAATAGGCACTCCAGTCACTTTTCTGAGTTCTGTTGTTCAGAGGAACCCTGACTGGGAAAAGCTGTTCTAGAGAAAAGCTTTCTAAGGCCTCTGGAGTCAGGTTTGTGTTTTCTTTTAACGCAACACAGAGAAGACCCTAAGCCAGTTTCAAAGGCCTCTATCTTTTCTGCACTGAACTTAATGGCTGCCAATATTTATTGAACAATCATTGTGCTAAGCACTTTACATGCACATTCTAATTTAATCTTCATAACCCTATAAGAAATAGTATAATAGCTTCCACATTCCAGATAAGAAAATTAAGGCAAAGATGTATGCAAAACACACGGCCTTTTTTATTTGCTGTATGTAGCAAAATTTGAACTCAAGCCTGTCTGATGCTAGAATCTATGTAAATAGTGTATATGTATTGCTTTTGCAATCAAAAATACAATAAAGTCTTATTTGGAATAAAAGAATGTCAGAAGAGACCAAAGTAGAAAAAAGAATTGAGAAAATAACTCATTTTTCTCACCTCATTTCCATATCTCTATTATGCATAGAATCCCACTCAGGAGCTAGTCTCAGAGAGAAGCCCATACAAGCACACCAGCCCACGTCAATGTATTGGGCATCAATTCCGTGCCAGGTACTGGCCAAGGTGCTTGGCAATACAACATGACTGAGCATTCCTATCCCCGCAGTGCCTGTGGTGTGAGAAGTCCGTAACCCAAGTCTGTACTAAGTTACAGGATGCTGGTGTGGCTAACACTGGCCGGCAGGGTCAGGGGGTAAATATCCAAGTTTTGTAGGTAACATGAGTTTGCCACGTACAGGAGAAAGGTGGTTCCTGCCAGAAGACTGCTCCAACACAAGCTTGTGGGCAAAAGGTACATGACGTACGTAGAGAACACGAGGAGTCAAGTACAAGGGAAGCGAAGGCCCCCCATGCCTCGTGACTGAGCACACGAGCAGCAGCATTTCAGGCGAGCGAAGGACAACCAGGAGGATCACTCTGGCATTCACTCTGCATCACAGAGAACGGACTGGAGAAGAGGCAGGCAAGCAGGCAGGCAGACGGGAGCAGACAGAAAGCTGCTGCCCCAGTGCACACGAGGGAAGGCCAGCTCTGAAAGAGTGTTGGCCGTGGGCACAGGCAAGGGGCTGGACTTGAGAAACACTTAGAAGTTAGAAGAAACACAATTTGGTTTTAGAGAAAGGTAAGGAAAAGCTCATTTAAACCCACAGGAATGAGAATGGCTTCAGGGGAAAGATCATCTACAACACTGGCTCCCAAACTGTGGACTACGCAAGTTTGAGTTTAAGAGGAGAGCTAAGAGTTATTTCAAGAAGTCTGCAAATGTGTGTGGTCCCCAGGCATCATTTATATAACAAACAATGCCTTGGAACGTGTAAGTACTCCTGTTTTACAAATACTGTATATATTCACGTTGGAGTGATGGATAAAATTTCATTTATGAAAGTTATTACTAAATTCATAGTATCCTTCTGCCTATCTGTATTTTCTCAGTCAAAACAGATGATAAACAGCTGTTATGTGGAAAAGAGGTTTTGAAAAGTTCAGGCTTTTAAAAAAAATCCTCACAATTGAAAAGAATCATAGTTCTTGGTGACAAGTATCAGAAACTCAAATTGAACTAGCTTACTAAGGGAAGAACATATATCTTTGGCAAAATAAAGGAAGAGATGAACAACCAAGCAGTGGAAAGAATGGAGCAGTGCCAGTCACAACTGAGACCTGGGTCTTGTTACATTACAGGGCAAGATAAAGGGATTTATAAAATCCATGTTGAGTACTGTCACGATAGTAACTTCAAGTCAACTCTGGTGGGAATATTTAAACCATGGGAATCAGCAAACCCTACAAATTCGGGCTTTTCCCCCCCCTGGAGAGCTAATTAAAACATTTATCAGGGCGTGGTGGCTCACGCCTATAATCCTAGCACTGTGGGAGGCCGAGGTGGGAGGATCACTCAAGTTCAGGAGTTCGAGACCAGCCTGAGCAAGAGTGAGACCCCGTCTCTACTAAAAAATAGAAAGAAATTAACTGGACAACTAAGAATATGTAGAAAAAATCAGCCAGGCATGGTGGCGCATGCCTGTAGTCCCAGCTACTCGGGAGGCTGAGGCAGGAGGATCACGTGAGCCCAGGAGTTTGAGGTTGCAGTGAGCTAGGCTGATGCCACGGCACTCTAGCCCAGGCAACAAAATGAGACTCTGTCTCAAAAAAAAAAAAAAAAACATTTCTCAGCAGTCACTGTGATACTAATGTACCCTGCAGGACCCCAGAATGGCCTAGGAATCAGAGATACCAGGTACACCTGAGCATGAGGGTGTGGACAGGCAGGTTCCTCCTCCCACGCACACAACCAAGTGATTCCTATTCTGCCTGCCTAGTAGAAGCCAGAAGTTTCTCTGAGAAGAGCTTAATTCAAAGGGCTCTGGAGGGAGGGGTGGAGCAAGATGGCGGACAAATAACACCGCTAGACAGAGTGTCTCTGCAGAAAAGACAGATTCTAGCAGAAATTAGAAAAAAGAAGCAAGAAGACGAGCATACAGCGGACGAGGGCCAGAAGGAGGGATACCTGAGACCCCGGGAGACTCCACGGGAGGAGGCTGCGGAGGAGAACTGGAGGCTGAGACCACCGGAGCAGCCCGGAGACCAGCGGCAAGGGTAGGTGGATTTGCTGTTTCCCCTCCCCTGCATTCGGGACTGCTGGTGGGCTCCCAGGCGGGTGGAAAGACCTGCGGCAGCCAGCAGAGACCGCCAAGCGCCTGCCAATGGTGAGCTGTATGCAGACGTGGCACCAGGTTCCCCCAACTTCCCGGGCACCTCCGTGTGCACAGACCGCAAGGCCGCGGGGCAGGCGCCATATTGCCTCCTCCTCCCTCCCGCCAACCCTACCCGCGGCTGCTCAGAGAGACAATACAGCCACCAGCCAGAGGCACTCCAGGGAATGGGACCTTCCTCTTTGGGACCCTACAGCTGACACAGGAGAACTCAGACTGTGATCTCCTACACCCGGCTCTCCCCAGGTGCTGCTGCACGGTGTTTCCAGGAGAACGGTGCCAACTAAGAGGCTGAGAGACATAGACCAGCTTGGGCTCCCTGTGGGTGAATTGGGACCGATCTTCCTCTCCTGGTGGGGATACAGTTTTGAGCTCTGGGACCCAGAGAGGTCAGACCTGCAGACCAGATCCCTGCACCGAGGCTACATTGCCCGGGGCACAGAGGTTTTTTATACGTGAACAGCCTACTGACGGTGTGCTGGTCGCCTCCAGGTGCAGATCAGCAAATCCTAGAGGGCACCCTACTCCCAGGAGGAGCCCGCTGCGCCCAGCCCAGGTGGCGTTTTCTCGTTTTGAGGAACTCCCACAAAAGCACAGCATACACAAGTACCGGGAGGACTGGTGCTTTGGTGGTTGGCCTGCTTGAACAGAGAGTCCCAGGAAAGATTAGCTTTGCAAGAGATTTATGGAGAAGAGAGGATGGAAAAGAAGCGGGCCC